CAAGCAATGTGAGCAGTAAAACTTGCCAGGTATACATAATTCACCCCCAAAATAAAAACCAAATCCTATTCCCCGGTGGAACTCATAACACTGTAAACCACCGCAAAAATACCCACACCCTACTGCAAATGTTGAATGATTTGAAACACGCAACTGTTTCCAAAACTCTGTTCATTATATACACACGGTGCAACCTTCACTCGCCATAATGCTGTGATCAACCCACTGAGTACCCCCGTGCATGCTCCTTAAGCCTAAATCATTACATGCTCTGTAAACTAACTGATACCATGTTATAATATGATACCCATGCACTCTATATCTACTGTAACCATCTTCAAACTGTCTTGTTATGCGAATTTAAAATAAAATTAAAAAATAAATGAAAATGGATTATCAGCATGTAACACACAGCTCCATAGTAATGGGCCAGTTGATCAGTGTATCACAGAGCTCAATGCCTATAAAACTTGCAGCAGTGTAACTGTATCAAAGAACTGTACAGCAATAAAACTCCTACCCGTACTTTACTGTGAGTTTTAAAAAAAATAAAATAAAAATTGTAGTGGAGTTCTGTGATGCACTTAAGGTAATGTGCATTCTGTGTGTGTTTGTCACACCTTGCCATGCTGTCTCTAGTCACATTTATGACCCTTAAAAATTCAGTGAGGAATGCTGTAAAATGACAAAAGGTGACATGCGTCTACTATTTGTAGTAGCAAGGTGAGCTTTGCAAGGGAGGCATAGTAAGAGTGTACTGCAAGGGGCCTATGTGAACAGGGTTTTTGTTTGCAAGGGGACATTGCGGATTGTGTGGATCAATGTGAGCAAGTAGTACTATCATAGATGTGTTTGTGAAGGAGGCTGTGTGCGTAAGGAGAGATTGGCAGGGAGGCAGTGTGAGCGAGGAGGGAGATGGCCAGGGAGGCAGGGTGAGCGAGGAGGGAGATGGGCAGGGAGGCAGGGTGAGCGAGGAGGGAGATGGGCAGGGAGGCAGGGTGAGCGAGGAGGGAGATGGGCAGGGAGGAAGTGTGAGCGAGGAGGGAGATGGGCAGGGAGGCAGGGTGAGCGAGGAGGGAGATGGGCAGGGAGGCAGTGTGAGCGAGGAGGGAGATGGGCAGGGGGAAGGGTGAGCGAGGAGGGAGATTGGCAGGGAGGCAGGGTGGCGAGGAGGAGATGGGCAGGGAGGCAGGGAGGAGGGAGATGGGCGGGAGGCAGGGTGAGCGAGGAGGGAGATGGGCAGGGAGGCAGGGTGAGCGAGGAGGGAGATGGCAGCAGGGTGGCGAGGAGGGAGATGGGCAGGGAGGCAGGGTGAGCGAGGAGGGAGATGGGCAGGGAGGCAGGGTGAGCGAGGAGGGAGATAGGGAGGGAGGGAGATGGGCAGGGAGGCAGGGTGAGCGAGGAGGGAGATTGGCAGGGCATCATTGTGTGCATGGGGGGAGACTGGCAGGGGGGCAGTGAGAGTAGTTTGGTATATTTGTGATAAAACCAGTGTTGTACTATGATGTTTAGCTTTAAACCACCACCATCATTAATAATAATAATAATAATAATATTATTTTTGTGTGTGCGTATGTGATCCTTTTTTAAAAAAATATACTTGTCATACACACCTCATGAATTACACTATTTCACCGGAACTTTACCTGCTCAGAATCACATGGAACACCCCAAGCAAAAGGGAGAAGTCTTTTAAAACTGCTATCCGTGCCAAGTTTCACCTCACCACGTGTACGGGGAAATCATCCCAAATAACGATTAGCCTTTGTTTACACTGGTGTGCCGTGCAATCAGATACTGTCCACTTAAAGTGAACCTGTCACATAAAACTTTTCTACGTTAATCAGTTTCTTACAAAAAATATAAAAATATCTTGCACTGCACACGTATTTCTTTGAAAATTATGGTGCAAGGAGGACACACTCCCCACATCCTCTTAAAAATTTTTAAAAAAATTTAGGTTTTCACAGCCCACAACTTGGAATGGTTTTGGCTCACTTAGCCTGTCACATATCGGACTGATCACAGACTAGATCCATTGTGCCGGCACGTTCATTTTTTTAACTAAATACAGCAAATCCAGACAACTGTAGCGCCTTCGTTCAGCTTCGTCAACTAATTATAGCCGAGCATAGAGTGGTTGTTTTCTTTTCCATTCTTCAAAATGACCCCCTCTCTCTATCCACAGATTTCTACCAATAAATTTAATTTTATTGCATGTTTATTTTTTTATTTTCTCTTACACCTGTCAAAAGGTGTCCTCATTTATTACATCTTGCCCGTTGGACAGCAAGGAAACGAAATGCAATGCTACAGATTAAATTTTCTTTTCCTCCCCGCCAGCTTCCATCCCTTCCTGGCTGATTTTGAATGCCATGATCTAAATGTACGTATTTATTCTTAATCTTGCTCAGGAACTTCTTTAACTTCTGACTCCTGGTAGGAAAGACATGATATGTTGACTCCCTCAAGCACATCCTGGATCCGTGTCCCTCTGACTGTGTGTTTTTCTCGCAGGCAGCTCAGACACTACCTAGTAATTGTTTTATTCTGTTTGAGTTGGAATACGGATTTACTGTGCTGGTTTCTATCTCTCTTCTCCCCCCTCCCTGCCCCCTCCTGCCCCTCCTTTTATCTTCATAGTAGGCCAAGATTTCATCCTCCTCCTCTGTCATTGTCTCTCGTTTGGCAGCTACCAACACGTATATCTGGGAACACAAGCTGCAAATTACTTCCATATTCAGCATTGAGCGATGCAAACATATCGTGTATTTTGGAAGGAAGCACTTGACCCATTTTAGTAGGTCATAAATATTTTTTTCCCCATTTTTATTATTTTTTATTATAAGTACTTCCTGCTTCATTAATGATTAGAACACATTTGATTATATTGAATTTCTATACCACCTTGAACTGTTCATTTTTGTAGGTTATTTTTCATGTTTGTAGTTTTTCATAATTTTTTTCTTTCCTTGTGTCTTCTTGAACTATTTCACCCTGTCCTACTTTAACGCTGCATTATATTGTGTTGCAAAACTAGGGCAGGTGGATCAAACTGCAATTTCTCCTCCCCCTTCCTCCTCCACGATTGTGCTGGGCTACAAATCCCAGGATTCCCTTCGAGGCTGGTGGAGAATCATGGTTGTTGTCATTGAAAAAAATTTGTCCAAGAATACACTAACTTGTTCCACCTATTCTGGTATGAAGTGGACCTGAATAAATTGTACTGTCCATTTGTGAAGGTCCGACATCTGCTTTCAACAGGTCATTAGCAAAACTCTAAGTTTTGTTTTCAAGCACTGTTCCTACTTTTTCGAATAATGATGCCGAATAATGATGTAAAATCGGCTGGAGTTTTTAAATTAAGAGTTGAAGAAGCTTAAGGAGTAGCTTTTGATGGCCAACAACTGGTCTTGAACTATAAACCACTCATTCTTCGAACTAAATATGTGCTTGTTCCCCAGAATATCTACATTTGCAAGATTTATTGGAGTGCTAACTATTTCTTCTGGAGCATCAGCTTTCTTAGTTATGTTTTTGGATCTGACGCTGGTTAGCTGTATGATAAGACGGCAAGATGGAGCATATTTGACATACAAAGCTAAATCTACCATGTGTTGACGTTTCCCCAGATGTGTACAATTGGGATTTGGGAAGTATTTCCCCTTCGTAACAATTCCTGAACTGTAGAAGACTGGGTCACAAAAGATAACTCAAAACTAGTCCACATATATTCAAATCCACTGCTGTAACTGCATGGACCTGTTGACTTGGAGAATTGTGACTAAACAGCCATTGTCTAATATGAATAAACATTTCCCCTCCAATTATTTTTTGGAGGGGAAATGTTGTATTGCTTAATTTATAAAATGTATCCCTGCATTTCATCTGTACCCCCTTTCCTCACCCTCGCTCCCCACATAATTTGGACAGATTCTTCAATAAACATTGCTTTAACAGTATGAACAAAAAGCAGCCATTTTAAATCTTTGACCCATGGGTGACCTTGTAGCAAACCTCACCCTATAAGTGACCTAAAGGAAAATGAGCTTAAGTTCTTTAGGCTTGTAGACAATCTTCAGTGGACATAGGCTCCTTTTATTTGTTACACTGTTTATTTGTCCTATCTTTCTTTTTGTTAGAATGTTTACATTTGTTAATCTTGTTAGTAACTTCTTAGTCTTCAATAAAGGATTAGAAGACTGACTTTATAGAATGGAGTGGGGGTTGTAGATAAATGTCTTGTCATGGTCACATTGTTATTTTCGAGAACACTTTAACATGTGTGTAAACGTACTCCTATTCTTTTTGACTACCATATTACTCATAGGGATAATACCAAGTTTGTCACTGCAAAAGCCTGATATAAGTAGTTTCTGGTATGTGATCCAAACAGCAAACAGCAGACCGTTAACATTAACACAATGTTCTCCACTTATTTTGGTAAAGTGGTGCCATCTAGTGGAGGTGGATTAACATTTCAACCCGCACACACTTAACTCCTCTGTGCTTTACACTTTGCACAAAATTAGTTTTTTCTAAAAGGGGGTAAAAAATAATAGAATATTGAAGAACCTTTTTACCATTCCACGTATGTCCTGACAGTTCACTTGCCCAATTCTAGGTCATCAGTTTCCTTTTCAGAGGAAGGTCGATGACCCAAGTGTCGTAAAACCCTGATCTTCTGTAAAGGTACCAAGGAATGGTGCTGACTGCCAAAAACCTAAGTTTCTCCCCTGTTTTCTTGGGACTGTAGTGGCAGTTAGATATATGATCCTGTATATATAATCAGGCTTGGATTGTATGGGTTCCTAAAGTTAATTCCACCAATTAAATGTATAAGGAACGTGATGCTAAATAGAATATTCGTATTAAATGTACAAATTTGCAGTTAACAAACGGAATTTTCAATCACCAACTTATTTATTCAATTCAATAAAGTAAACCAAATGTAAAATACGGAGTCTCAATTTTTGTTTTTCAGCTGCTGATGTTTGACAATGAGTGGATTAGGGGAGAACTCCTTGGATCCCTTGGCTACTGAATCACGAAAACGCAAGCCTTCTTCATGCGACACTCCTGGGCCTAGGTAAGTAAACCATTGCGCATACTTTGAGTAATACTACATACCTGAAAACTAGTCGGATCCAAGTTTAACAGGCTATCATTTGAAATCTCATCTGGTCCTCTTTCTACTCCTGTTTTATCTTTACTGTTGACCAAAGTTTTTATCCTTTTCTGGTACTTCTGACTGGAGCGATTTTGCTGCACGCTAAGACTGCCTTCTCTGACTTTTGATATAGTGAATTTTGCTTTCTCTTCCACCATGTTGGTTCTGTCTAAGTTGTGTGTTCATCTCCCTCTTATCCTTCTTCCGACTTTGAGTGAGAGACATTGTACTGGGGTACAGGAGAATCTTCTTAACTTCTGTGTTGACACAAGTGTGAATGGGCTCTGAATAAATTGATAGCAGCTGCTGCCCATGTATCGCTGTGTTCCAATCAGATCTGATGAGAGGAAGTATGGCTGAGGGACAATTATCACATAAATGACTACACTACGGTGTCTTGTGGGATCTTGGTTGGTGGAGCCTCTTATTGATCATGTAATAACTGCTGTGAACATACAGATTGTGGGTCTACACCTTGGAACAATGTATCTAAATCATGTCCAAGCTGATCATTTCTGGTGTTTTAACCCCTTAAGGACCAAATTTCTGGAATAAAAGGGAATCATGACATGTCACACGTCATGTGTCCTTAAGGGGTTAAACAGGTTGTGTATGAAGCTTAAAGATTAAAAATCTATAGAACTAAGAAGAAAATGTTTGATCTTGGGGAGGTTTGCAAGCCACTAGTGAACCATCTAGACCTATCACATTGTGATCTTATCGCTCTCTTTCTCTGCAATATATAGATTTACTGGTGCACTAAGAAGCAGCCATCTACTGGGTGGGGAACAATGATGCTCTAGCCAAAAACCTGTATGATTAAGTTATAATTAAAAAGACCGTTCATGTTGGACCATGCATTAAACTAATATTCAAAAATATGCGATAACATAAAGTCTGTGCATTTGCTGAGCTTTCCCAGCTAAGCAGTCTTGGGTGCATGGGCTACCTCTTTAAGCTCCTTGTAAGCACCTGTTAACTCCTGACTTTGACTCCAACTGTAGATGGCTGCGTATTAGATTGGCCTGTGAGGAGCAATCTCTGCTAAAGCTGACTTGTCGTCTGTACATTTTACAGGTTCCGTATTTCTTTGGTTGAAAACTTTGACTTTTTTTGGAAAACCAGCTCTCTCCTGCCTAACGGGAAAATTCAAATCTATTAATTGTTTGGTTGTTTTACAACCTTTACAACCTTTAGATCTGTTAACCCTCTCCTTCACCCAAACACATATCGTCCGTTTATAGTCACCCAGGAATGCCATCAAGCGCTATCTAAAAAAAACAGGAACCTGAAATGAATGTGTGCTTTATTCTCTGTTTTAAAGGACACTATAGTCACCAAAAAAACATTAGCTGAATGAAGCTTTTTTTGGTGCATAGGTCATGCCTCTGAAGTTTCACAGCTCAATACTCTGTCATTTAGGAGTCAAATCACTTTTGTTTCTATTTATACAAACCTAGCCGCACCTCCCCTGGCTGTATGAAAAGGAGAGGAAAGAAACCATTTCTTTCCCATACACAGCTTGTATAAAAAAATGGTTTGTTTCTTCAATCAGATGTAACTTATTTCCTGCTCTGTTCACTGAACTCCCAATTACATACAAGGGGCTCCTGCTTGGTCTAGAAAGCTATTGAGATAAGATAAGAAATACTAAATTAAACAGAATTTGCAATAAAGGAATTGTAAATATTAGATGACTATTTACAGGAAGTATTTAGGAAAGCTGTGTACATCACATGCATGAAGGTGTGCCTAGGGGCTGTGTAAACAAAGTGATTCAACTACTAAATGGCAAAGAATTGAGTAGTGACATGATCTATACACCAAAACGTCTCCATTAAGCTAAAGTTGTTTTGCTGACTATAGTGTCCCTTTAATTGAATTTGAGATTCCACAGTAGGGCTACTCAATAGCCTAATGCTTTCTTTCTGGAGATTCCTAAATGCTGTATTCAAGGTATGGAAGTGCTCCCTAGCAGTATGTGTAATTAACGTCACACAAGCACGCATGTAATTAATCACAAAGTTCCTTCCCTCCCTCTGGGTTCCTGGCAGTAATTCATTTATGGATTTAGCTCCCGGATTCCATGTATTTGTGGACAACGCATTTACACCCTGCCTGACAGTTTGCAGAATTCATGTGCGCTTCCCAAAATGTGTCAATCTGGCGTCCTTAGGTGACACACAAGGTGACCTATAGAATGACTTGGTGATGCAGTTGGGGGGGTCTGGGCAATGTTTGTGTCTATTAGTTACAAATGGTACTGCAATAGATTACAGGCGCTTTCAGCATCTGATAGACTATCGGAGTTCTTCATTATTTTTTTTTTTCATTGGAGTCTAAAGTCATTCCTAACCATTTCCAGACCAACCACTTCGAATAAGCAAAACAATAAATAGCAGTCGAGACAGAAGCATGGTTTTATTCCCCTCCCAGTTTGTGATAAATTGCATATGCTAAATGCTGTCTTTCTCTTTCTCGCCTAGCTTGACCTGCACTGGTGAAAAGAGAAGACGTGAGCAAGAGACAAAATATATCGAGGAGTTGGCCGAGCTGATTTCAGCAAATCTCAGTGACATTGACAATTTCAATGTCAAACCAGACAAATGTGCAATTTTAAAAGAAACCGTCAGACAGATCCGCCAGATTAAAGAACAAGGTACTGTCCTCATTTCTCAGGGAGAATTCACTGTTCCTTTTTTGTCTGGAGGCTGATGTGCAAACTAATGAGGTACATTACTCAGCCTCTAAAATAAGAACGCATATATGTAAAAGCAGGAGGAGAACAGTTTAAAGAGACCATGCAAAAACTGTGTATCCAATACATTTGGCATTGGTGTACTTTGTTACAGAGTTATTTAAAGGATCTCTAAAAGGACCCAGAAAACGTCATCGCAATAAAGTAGTCTGGGGGCAGCGGCCCTTTACTTTTTTACCCTGCAATTTAATTGCTGTTTCTAGTAGATATGTCAGTGCTATGATTTCATGGTTAACACCTTTTCCTGACAGCCACTAGAGGCGCTACCACATTAAGATCCGAGTCAAACTCTGTTCTCAAACCAATGCTGCTCCTAGAGCAGCCTTCAATTGGCACGGCGTAACATTTTGCTGCGCATGTGCACTAGCCTCCCAAAGATGTCTGCCAATGAGACGGAATAACCATGGCAAGACCAGAACGTATGGGATATAAGGCTTGTTAATTGCACAATTATCTAAATATTTAGGACACTATAACTTTAGGAAAACGTGTGCATTCCGAACATCGTGTTAATAATAATAATCACATCTGCAAATACCCTTCAGATACTTTAATACTGCCAGTTATCTGCCAGAGAAAATGTGCAAGCTGCTATGTGCCGCAGTGCACACATACGTCCTACCGTTATGCTAGAGGTATTCTACCATGCCACAAATGTGTCTCGCATTCTAAAGTAATGCACGGCCATCTCTAGGTATGTAGGCGCACACCTCTGTGTGTGTGTGTGTGTGTGTGTGTGTGTATATGTACACCTTGTACAGATTCAGTTTACACACCTGCCATGTTGTTCAGTAATTGTCTAGACTACAGAAACATACCTGAAAAATGTTTTAAATTAGAGGTCCTGCTTTTTTATCTGCAGTGAGCCCACCCTCCCTCCCTCCCTCCCTAAAAACTGCATTTATTTTCTTTGGTAGTGCTCGAGATATCCCATAAATTGCTCCCAGGAGGTTGCAGAAACAAAGAAAATTCTCGTAAATAAAAGAGCTTTGTTGCACTTTCCTGCTTTATGCTTTACTCTCTGCAGAATAAAAGGATTCTCTAAGCATCCAAAACACCTTTAGCGTAATGAAGCAGTTTTGGTGTATAGATCAGCCCCTGCAGTCTCACAGCTCAGTTCTCTGCCATTTAGGAGTTCAATCACTGTTTCTGTTTATGCAGCTCTAGCCACACCTCCCCTGGCTGTGATTCAAACAGCTAGCATGGAAAAAAAATAAAACATTTTTTTTTCGTTCAGAGCACAGTGTGTTTATTTTAGATGTTTGTTTGTTTTTTCGTCATTGCATACTCCAGCTTTCTTTTAATTTATAAATCCATGTTTTTCTGTCATTTCTAGAATAATAATATATTTAAATATTCCCATTGCAGGAAAGTCCTCTTCTAATGATGATGATGTACAGAAGGCTGATGTGTCTTCTACAGGGCAAGGCGTGATTGACAAAGACTCTCTGGGGCCACTCTTGCTACAGGTGACCAGATCTAATACAAAAATACCCCTTTGACAGAGATCTCTTGTTCTTGTTTCCTCTTTTTACTGTTTTTGTCATCTCTCTCTTTCTGTCTGTCGTTCGCCTTCTCTTGCTCTGCCTGTCTCTCTGAATATGAAAGTTTGTCCCGTCCCTTTTATCTTTCACTCCCTTTATATATGGAAATGGTCCGTGCACTTTTATAAAAGCAACAAAAGAAATTATAACCAAAGATAGATACTTGGATGAGTCGCCCAGAAGCCCTTTATATGCTGCATACAGTTGATTTTGAGTATTTGTCTATAAATGAAGTTGTTTTGATTTTCTGGTAAACTGCCGAGTGCACCCCCGAGAGCCATTAACCCAAATTAGAAAATAATCCTCTATTAGCACCTGCATACAGCTGGTCCATAAGCACATCAAGACGGCTAACTCATCTGTGGTATAATGGCAAGGAATTGTTATGAGGAAACCGAATGATACAATACATTTATAGAAGCTGGTTAAACTTCTGTAATATTTCCTGTGAACGATCCCCTGTCCATTTGTGTGTGATTACTCATTTAAAATAATTTAAGCTGTAATTTGAAAGGATAGAGGCCTAAAGACTACCAAGATAAAGTGAATTTCAAATATGTGTCCAAAATAGCTGAACGGAAAACCTATAACTATTTTGTCCTAAACTGTTTAATTCACTTTGATTTCCTGTGTGAATACTCTGCCAGTATTGACGTCCCTAAACGGCAAAATTATGAATGCAATATTCAGGCTAAATAGCAGCGTGACTAAACCGGAGAATATTTCCAAACCTTATATTTTGGCCTAAATTTTAATTTTTTTTTTCAAAAAAAAAAGTTAATTAATATATATATATAATTTCTTTATTTTCTGGTGCAGGCACTCGATGGCTTTCTGTTTGTTGTAAATCGTGAGGGTAGCATTGTGTTTGTATCGGAAAATGTCACCCAGTATTTGCAGTACAAACAAGAAGATTTGGTTAACACCAGTGTTTACAGTATACTTCATGAAGAGGATCGTAAAGATTTCTTGAAGAACCTTCCTAAGTCTGCTGGTAAGCTCCTGATGCATCGGAATATGAAAATTGCAATCGCGTCCATTTAAGTGCTGTGATGAGACAAAGTTATAGCCTAACTTCATTGTTTATCTGATGTTCTTTCTTCTTAAAAGTTAACGGAGTCCCCTGGTCAAATGAAGCTCCCCGACAGAAGAGCCATACGTTTAACTGTCGGATGTTGGTGAAGATACATGATCACCTTGAAGATGGCAACAGCAATTTGGACAACCGGCAGCGATATGAAACCATGCAGTGCTTTGCACTGTCTCAACCAAGGGCAATGATCGAGGAAGGAGAAGGTAGCAAAAATCACTTAAGGACCTCTTTTATTTTAACCCCCTAAAAATTAGTTTTTATTTTTTTTTATTTTTTATATCCTTATCCTTATCCATTTTTTTCTTGATAGATCTTCAGTCATGTATGATTTGCGTGGCACGGCGTATAACAACCGTGGAGAGAGTGTTTTCAACCAATCCCGAAAGCTTTATAACAAGGCATGACCTATCAGGTAAGAGTATAAGATCTGGAACAAAACTGATGTGTACACAGTATTACTTGGGAACTACCACTTTGTCATTATTCCTGTGCTGTATTAATCTTTTTGGGGAAATCAGAAATTGTTATTCGTAGTCCAGGATTAATAAGGGATCAGGTGCCCTGTATTGCTCTGGATTACAGGGTTTTTATCTGAAAGACCTTGTGTTAATTTAACAGGCAAGGTGGTGAATATCGATGCGAACTCCCTGCGATCTTCCATGAGGCCGGGTTTTGAGGATACAATTCGAAGATGTATTCAGCGCTTCCTGTGTCATAATGATGGCCAGCCTTGGACGTATAAACGGCACTACCAAGAGGGTAAGTTAATACTTTTCTGGAATTTACATGGTGCAGTTATAATCTATTAAATATTACTGAGACCTTGTGCAGATTTTTTAACCAGCCAGTTAAGAGGGGGAGCACATTTGCCATAGCCCGCTGCAAAGTGATGCTGGCCACATTTTTGGTTTGAAGTAGGTTTCTTTCTAGACCCTTACTAACACAGAGGAGTGATTGTTCAGCCTTCTAATTACTTCTCTTTTTGGTATTTCCTTCCAGCATATGTGCACGGACACTCTGAGACTCCATTTTACAGGTTCTCCCTTTCAGATGGCACCATGGTGACCGCACAGACAAAAAGCAAACTGTTCCGAAATCCTGTCACAAATGATCCTCATGGATTTGTTTCTACGCATTTCTTACAAAGGTTGGTATCCGTAAATGAAACAAGGGTTTGGTCTCTTGCCTTACTATTAATAACTCTGGTGAGCGGGCCTCTGTATGCTACACTCCTACGGGCATAAGGTAACCGAATACGGTGTCTTATTAAACCGGCTGTATTGTAATACAGTAGTTCTAGATAAGGGGCAGACCAGTCTGAGAGCTCATATAGCTGAGGGTTCAGGTTTCCCTGGTTAAGTGTTAGTATACAAACCGTTTACAGCACATGGCTGTGCAAATTGTGTGTCACTGTGTGACACTAAGCAGCTACACAACATAAAGCAACCACATGGGTTTCACAGCCTATTGTGGGCTTTCCTAGCTGTTTGATGCTCCTAAAGGCATGGGTTCAGTTAATTCAATTTGAAGTAGACAAAAATGTTGGGGGTAATTCTTGAACTTCTTGACCAAATGTATGTCTTTCTCCCCCCTCCCCACCACTTCTTCCAAAATATTTTATATTTTGTTGTAGAGAATTATGGGAAACGCAGTCCAGTAACAGCTGGTTAGATGAGTGATTTGTTCTCTTTGGCATATTTATTTTTGAGCTTTTCAATCCTTAACTGCTTTTTTTTTTTTTTGGTGGTGGTTTCAGAGAGCAGAATGGATACCGACCCAATCCTAACCCAATGTCTCAAGGAATGCGTCTTCCTGTACCTCCAAACTCCAACCCTGCAAATGCCATGAACCCCTCGCAGCCTCAGTCCATGCCACCCCAAAACAGGAGTTATGGTGGCATGGGAGACCCAAACAGCATGACACAGATGCCTGGCATGAGATACAGTTCTGCGGGCAATATGGGACCTGTGAACCAAACTCCAGGGATGCAACAGCCCCAATACCAGAACAACAATAACAATACTTATATGAGTAGCCCTCCACAAGGCAGCCCTGGCATGAGTGCCAACCAGTCGAACCTCATGATGTCTCCCAGGAACCGTGGGAGCCCCAAAATGGGAACCAATCAATTTTCGCCTGTTCCAGGTATATTACTGATCTGTCTACAGAAAATATCTCACCTTTTCTAGAAATGCTTTCAAAATTGGGATTTCCAATATTTTGTAATGGAGCGAAAATACTTTGCGATGATATAGTGATCTGATACATTGTTTGAACTTGTGTGGTACTGATTTTTTTTAAAATAGAAATTTAATCAGTCTCTTTGGGGTTTTTTTTTTCCTTCTGTTTCTTCTGTGGTGGGATTTTAAATGTGGTGTTTTCATGCATCATTTTCAACTTTTTAAATTAAAATCGAGTGTTGATTTGGTATTTTTTTTTTTTTTACCATACTTAGGTATGAATTCTCCAATGGGGGCTTCAGGAAATGCAGGAAGTTTCTCCAGTAGCTCTCTGAGTGCTCTTCATGCAATAAGTGAAGGAGTTGGAAGTTCTCTTTTATCATCTTTGTCTTCACCAGGGCAGAAAGTAGAGAACTCTTCCAATATGAACATGGCACAGCCTGGTAAAATGGGAAATCAGGAGTGCAAAAGCCCTTCCGGTATGTATTGTGAACAAAGTCAAGTGGAGAGTTCTGTGTGTCAGTCCAGTGGTAGGGAACATCTCGGGGAAAAGGACATTAAAGAGAATATCCTTGAAGGGTCTGAAAGTCAAAGAGCGCAGGCCGAAAGCAAAGGTCATAAAAAACTATTGCAGTTGTTGACCTGTTCAACGGAGGATAGGGGTCACAATGCAATGGGCAACTCCACAATGGACTCTAGTTGTAAGGACTCTTCCACCAATGTTACCAGCCCTTCAGGGGTCTCGTCCTCAACTTCTGCTGGTGTTAGCTCTACATCAAACCTGCATGGATCAATGCTTCAAGAGAAGCACCGAATTCTTCACAAGCTGTTACAGAATGGAAATTCTCCTGCAGAGGTAGCTAAAATCACTGCAGAAGCTACTGGCAAGGACAACTTTCAGGACTCTGCAAACTCTGCGCCTTGTGCAGAGGCCACAGTAAAGCAAGAACAGTTGAGTCCTAAAAAGAAAGAGAACAATGCACTTCTTAGGTATTTGTTGGACAAAGAAGATCCAAAGGATCCACTCTCAAAGGACATCAAACCAAAGGTGGAGCCAATTGAAAACAAGATGGGACAATGCAGTAGCTCAAGTCTCCCAACATCTAGTCAGGACAAGGACATCAAAATTAAGACTGAGCCAACAGAAGAGGTATAGGATGTCTTTATGTCTGTGTTTTGACTCACCGTATCCCATTGTCTCAAAATCCCCACTCCCGGAGAAAGCACGCTAAACAAATTACATGCATATTGTCTTTTTGGGGATATATCTACAAGAGTGGAGTGTTACTTTAAGACTGTAGGTTTCATCTATATGCTATAGAGCAGAGAGAGGCGGCCTCTGTACTCCAGATGTGGACTACATCTCCCCACAACACCAGCATTATGGCTATGAAAGCATTATGGAAGATGTAGTCTACAACATCTGGAGTGCTAAAGGTTGCCTACCCCTGCTATAGAGTATTAAAAAAAGTAACAAAATAGCCTTTCTCTAATATTCCTTTTGGGTATAATGCAATCTGGCTTCCTGTTGATCATTGATGTTCTCTCAAATTATTCACACTTGTAAAGGTCGATGAGACTCCTGCCAGACACCGAGGCCCTGATTTATTGAAACAATGTTATTTTTATTTCAGCCGAGATTAGCTCACTTAATAACATGTTATTCTACATGACAGTTAAATCCAGGTTTACAATAACTTCCTGCATGACGTGAACTTAATTGGCATGGTATAAAATGATTTGGTTTGACAAGCTGAGCACACAGACGCATCAGATTTGATTGGAGATAAAAGGACGTTGATCCTATGTACCGAAAAAAGGAACGGTTACCTTTGGTCCCCCTCCCATTTAATGTTAACTTATCTTTAAAAGGATGTTGAATAAAGAGGTGGCACTGCCTGTTTAAATTAATGTTTTATGTTCCGACTGCTTCTCACTTTTATTTGTTTATTCATTCTGCTCTACTGACTTCTGTCATGGGTTAGTAACCCCTTTAGTTCCAACCTTATAAGAGTTCTGTGCTCAGAAGATTAGACCTTAATGGCAACCCTCAAGTGGTATACTCCTAACCCATGTTCCAGCTTCTAAACAAAGATCAGAATGCTGGATGGGTTTTCAAAGTGGATGGGTTGGAAGTTAAATTATTTTATTTTACACTGCAAACTTTTAATGTATATGTTTTACTTTTTTCTCCCAACTTAGTTTAGTGCCTTAATATGGGCATTGCATTTCACACCCCTCTTGCATTCTGAACGGTATCAAATCTTTAATAAATAATATCCAATCGTGATTGCATTGGTTACTGTGTTATCTGAAGTTAATCGACTGATTTTATAACTTTCTGCTTTTGTATGTCTGGTTCCCATGTAACTAGGTCACTGGAGACTTAGATCATTTAGATGCCATTCTTGGAGACCTCGCAGGACCCGAATATTATTCCAACCCAATCAGTTCGAATGCCTCACCCCTGGGGAACAAGCAGCCCGTCTTCCAAGACAGCCCCTCGATGGGTAAGAAATGCACCACTACTATCAACCTTGATCTCTTATTCATCAATAGGGGGGGGGGGTTTAACTTTGATTTATTTTATTTGTATTTCATTTTTATGGTTCTATTGGAACAAAGCTGCTTCTAGACCTCTTATGCGGACAGTGATATTCTACTAGCCGCGCATGCTAGGATTCCGATCTTTTGGTTTGCCATGGGCAATTTTTTTTTTGCTCACCGTGGCATAACGTTAGATCTTCATGAACGCCATTTCTTTTCATGTCCCATATTCTATTAGGACCATTTCATTCTTTCCTTCTCTTCTGCTTCATTTCTCTCTACCTTTCATTCTTTTTCCAGTTTAGTCACTCAATCCTTCTCTATGGCATATTACTTGGTAAAATACAAAGGACAATACTTTATTGAGACTTTAATATATATATTTTTAATTCTTTATTTTGCTGTGCATTGCGTAACAACGATATCATTTTAGCAAATCAGATGTTTTCAGACCACAAGCATTAGGCATATACTGTAATTACGGTTATGCACATTTAAAAAAAATAATTATTTTGTCATGAGTGTGTCCCTGGCGAGCTGCTTTATGGTCATGATGTATAGGTATATTTGTCAGATTCGTCATTACTAAGGGCGTGTGGTGCAAGTGTGCATGTTCCGAAAGCAGTACCGGGGTTTGTGGGCCTTTCATATAGGCTCTCGTGTGGTCAGGCCTAGGAACGTGTGCAGGTCTGTGGGGTAGACCTAGATTAAAAGTAAGGGTCAAGCTGCAAGTGAGTGCTGTTCGTGCGTGTCGTCCACCTCGTAAGGGGGGGGAGGGGTATCTGTCTTTATGCTTGGTGGACCTCTTGGAGGAGGTGGTGCCCCTAACCAAGGTGTGTCGGGGGGAGGGTGGGTTGCGTACGGTACAGTGGTATACTATATAAATGGTTACGTAGAACCGGACCAGGGCCATACATGGCACTATGAAGCGAGTGCTTGATTGTAACATGGTAAGCTAGGGCTCCCTATTCCTGGGCGTCCTAGGCTCGTTATTGCGCTGTCATGTGGGCGAGGCTGGAGACTTGAAGATTTTGAAGATTTTGTTACTGGAAGTTTGTCTGTGCTCTATTTTTAAGCCATCTTTTTACAAAAATTAAGTAATATGAAAATGAGCGACCCTGTGAACTGTATTTTTATCTATTGGCATTGTTTTACATATCTTTCTTTGATTCAAATCCTAAAACGTGTGTTTACAGACCTTTGCCATAGACACTGATCCATTTGGTAGACCCAGCACATTTACTTGTAGGTTCTATTGTTTTTGAGTGGATTTCATACTGTTTTCTGATTGGTCGAAAATGTGTCTCTAAAATCACAAAGTGCTACGTATTGCATCTTCATTAAGGTATCAGAAGCCCACCAGCTGTGCAGATGAACCGGCCTCCCTTTAATCGGGCGATGTCATTGGACAGCACAGTGCCAGGAAACGCCACCCCTCCAGTGCGGAATGTCAACTTTTCAATGTTGCAAAAGCAAACCGTGATGGGCAGTCCGAGAATGATGGACGGGCAAGAAAACTTCAACGTAATGATGGGTATGTTTCATGGGAGGGAGAAAGGACCTTGACAGGTTCAAACTTGTGTTCATGTCACACTATTCTCTTAATAACTGCATTTGTTAGACTAGGCCTTTACAGCTACATTTCAGATACCAGCTGCCATCCTGATATTGCTAACTTACTTCCACAGTATGCAGACAAAGATCACAAAAAAAAAAAAAAAATCTACCACATTTTTTTTTTTTCCCCCTAGTCTTTGTGAAAGTATAGTTTATTTTGGAGTTTAGACCTGTGACCATAAATTAATTGAAAGGCAAGGAACAAAAATGAATAGGCGGCTAATCTAAAGTGTGCAAATATTGGTTCAGCCAACCAACATATTTGTATGTTTCAAAAATCATATCGCTGCTTTTTTTTTCTTAGTTTTTTTTATATCCATTCATTAAATGGTACCCTACACCCTGTTCAACCCGTTTAGGACTGGCCTAAAGGAACACTTCAGACACATGAAGGACTTCCGCTCACTTGAAAGTGACAATATATCAATAGAGAGCCAGGGAGGTTTTCTTCTGCTTTTCGTTAGCCCCACAGAGTAAAGGGTAGCAGTAAGCACACGGTGCTGACATGTCTGACTTCACTTCTTCTCAATAAGTGATACTACAATTTATTGAGAAGCATATAAAGCAATGATCGTGTGCACGTGCCCTCACACATCCAGCACAGTTTGAAAAGTCTCTGATGTATTCCTCACCAAGGCGAGAGAGGGGAAGACTTGCAAAGGCTGCAGACACCATTTCTGCAGCTTTTGCAAGGTTGTTTTTTTTTTATTTTATTTTTTTTTATTCCTTCATGTGCCACCAAAGAGAGTATGCAGAGGAAAATACATGCATGACTTCTCTTCTGGGTATATCTTATAAATTGAAAACCAATATCAGATTTTTCAATGAAATGCTCCTTTTAATTTATTAGAACTTACCTCTTGATATCTATTTTTAATTCTATTTGTTGGGACACCATGTTATTATGCTTAAGCTGTGGGGACAAATAGGATGCATGAGTTGTCTTTTTGACTTCTGAGCGATTGATCTTCCAACTTTGAAGAATCTAAACCCTACGTGTTCTAGCACAATGCAGGGAAAACAGGCTTATTGGTAATCACTAGCAATTTTTTTTACCTTTACGGTAGGATCCTCCTTAGAAACTTTACCCCACTGCTACCTGCAGGCCTTTTTTTAAATTCTGTCATCTTATTGTAGGAGGTGGACCTAACCGAGGTATGAACCAGCATCCTGCAGGGGACTGGGGGATGCAAAACCCCAACATGAACCGGATGGATTCTTCAAACGCTGGAACAGTGGGGAGACCGGGTCCTGATTATAACCCCTCAATGACAAGACCACAGATGAACAACAATATACCAGGGCTTCCAGCACGATCGAACAGCATTCCCGGCAGTAGACCTGTGGTTCAGCAACAAATGCTTCCAATGAGTACGTGGTTTGCTCTGTTGCTTGTTTCAGTAGATCGTATCGCTTGAAGGGCTTTCTGTGTTATTCAATAAGACCTAGCATGAAACACATTTATTTTTAAACTCAATGGGGAAAGGCAATTATCCCGCTGCATAGGTTATTATATGCTTTGTCTTGGATGCAATTTTAGATTACCAAAATGTCCCCTGATGGAGATGTAGTGGGCAGCTTCTAGAGTTGCACCTTAACACTGTTTCTCTTGGGAAAAGTGAGACCGCCTTGAGAATGGTGTTTGATCTAAACCATTCCTCTTGCCTTTGTTTTTTCTTATTCTGTGGTTATCACTGTCTAACACAGACTTGTGAATTGACCTGTTTTTTTTAGGACCCAATGAAATGAATATGGGTATGGCATCAAACCCCTATGGACAACAAGGTCCATCAAATCCACCCGGATCCTGGCCTGAAAGTATGATGCCAATGGATCAAGGGCACGGCGGACCTCAAAACAGGTTAGTATGCAGTTTATTCAACGTGGTGAAACATTCATTAATTCTATTTTAAACTCATTTTGGGCTGTTTGGAATTGAATGATTGGGTTGCAGTTTTCAGATATCTACTGATGTCTCCAGAGGGCAGCATGATGTATACAAGAAGTTCATACTAACTAGGTGCGTTGTGCTGTAGAAAACGCAAGTAGCTATATTTAAAGGAGATTGGTATGTAAAAATAGGTTTCATTGTTGCATGAGGCCCTATGAAAACTCAAATGTTATAAAATTGTTTCCCACTAATCTGTGATCATAAATTGGACTTGCCTTCAAAGTTTCCTTAACATTGTAACAATTCTGGCAGAGCATTGCACATGGCTAAATAAAAAAAGAAATCACTTCTATCCCTTCAGATATTTACCATTGATTTAAGAATGTTTGAACTTTTCAAATGTTTTAATATTTTTGAATAAACTTTTAATTATGTTTTTAAATATATTTTTTCCTTCATAATATAAAAATATTTTTAAAAATACTCTATAAAACAATTCAATATAGCAAAATATTAATATTCTTTACAGTAAATAATTAAAAGTTTAGCCAAAAATATTAAATCATTTCAAAACCTTGTCATACAATATTAAATTGAAGCTGCTGTAGGGCCTTTCTAAGGACCCTTGTGACCCGTTTCTAAGGACCCCTTTGACTTGTTAGCTGAGTTTCATGGCAACTCTCAGTATCACCCAATGTAAATGTATAGTTCTAATGGTTAATATCTTTGTGATAATGCAAGAAGTAGTGTGCATCTATGCTGTCCTAATTTGTGGCTTGCATGTGCAGTTTTATTTTTTGCGCAAGATGTTTTTATTTATTTTTTATTATAATGTTGTTTTCCTCTACATAACGTCAGTATTTTTGTCATTCAGACAGCTGGGTCGAAGCACATTAGATGAACTGTTGTGTCCTCCCTCAACTGTTGAGGGACAGACAGATGAAATTGCTCTCCTTGACCAGCTGCACACTCTTCTGAGCAATACAGATGCTACTGGACTGGAAGAAATAGACAGGGCTCTGGGAATACCTGACCTTGTCAATCAGGTAAGCACTGTCTGTTTGCGTGATTCTTTAGAATCCCGTTGGTCTATCAGGATCTCCCATTAGAGAATATTTATGCAGGTCAACAGCTGAGTGGAATTACCAACCAAGATGGCAAAATGAAAAAGGTTTCTGCCCCCTCAAAGTTTAATCTCACAGGGGATCATCAAAGGAAAGAAATTGTGTTGGTTTTTGAAAAACATTTTATGGGGGAAAAAAATAAAATTGTAAGCATTAATATTAATCCTTCCAGTTGAATTAATTATTTTGTGTTTTTAATCAGGGCCAAGCAATGGAGCAGCAGCAAGATTCCTTCCAACCTCAAGATTCCCCAGTCATGCTCGACCAAAAGCCTCCGATGTACGGCCAGCCGTACGCAGGCCAGGGATCCCCGATGCAAACCGGTGGTTTTAATAACATGCAAGGACAACACGCACCTTTCAATTCAATGATGAGTCAGATGACCCAACAGCAAGGCAATTTTCCACTGCAAGGTATGCACCCGAGGGCAAACCTCATGAGACCAAGGACAAACATCCCAAAACAACTCAGAATGCAGCTGCAGCAGAGACTCCAGGGGCAGCAGGTAAGCAAGGACCTCTTTAATTTCTTCCATTTCTGTTTGTAACAGGTCCTATTGAAATAAATATGTGATGAACAATGAACTGTCACGTTTTATTTTTTAGTTCAAAGCACAGATCTCGTAGACTCTGGAGAAAGTATATATGTTTACAAAAAATGAAGTCCATTCTGTCTTTTGGGTGAATTTTTCCAGTTGTGAAAGTATTAAACAGTAGTTCTAAGCTAGCGTTTGGTGCTTTGGTAACGTTGTGAGTGTCCACATCCTGGACACTTTATCATCCTCTGACACCTGCTGTGAAATAATTTGACGTTTTACACCCTCCGGTCTGCTCTTTCTCTGCACTATCCACTCACTCGTGATCATTTTCCATCTTCAATATTAGAGGTTGTGTCTCCAAAAGGATACAGAAGTGAAGAAAATCAATAGCTCTTTGTTTAAAGAGAAATCCACCTTTAATCGCAAAATTTACAGGGAGTAGAAAATCTTGCCTAATTGTTCACCATTTTTTTTTTTCTCTCTCTCTCTCTCTCTCTCTTCCACATTTAGTTTGTTCACCTACTGTATGCTCTTTCTCATATTCTAACCCAACTCTTCTGACTTTGTCCCCCGTTTTTGGTCTTTGTCTCTTACCGTCACTTCCTGATCTTTTCTAGCTTCCATATTTAACCTTATTTTACCATAGTTTAAAAATTCTAGACCACAGACGCTGGGCTGGAAAAAAAACTGAAACCGGGTAGTCCTTACTTTCTCTGTATATCTCTTGACTGGATCGGAATTTCATTGAAAATCCAACAGTCGTTATGAGCATTTCATAAAGATTCTATTTTTATGAAATACTAATTTTGCAATAATCCAGTCAAAACTAGTGTATTGGTTCATTGTAATTCTAACAACTGTTTATCTGTCGTATTAATTTCTGACATTAAGAGGGTCTCTTCATTTTTCCATTTTTTGAAATTCCGTCCTCCAACATACTCATGCGCCCTATAATCCGTCTTAGTCTCCGATACATATTTTATGTCAAACTATTTTTATCTTGGTTACCTGTAGGTTTCTACACTGGCTGCTCACCGTTCTTCCAAAATGTTACGGATGCAACATACAGTATTGTGGTTTTTACTTTTTTTTTATAAAGTCAAAAGCTGTTTTTTATGATTATATGGTGTAGAATTTACTATAAGTAAAACAACATCTGATCACTGAATAATCAATGACATGTTTTTGAAGTTAGGGGTTGGGTTGTCTTCAGGACCAAGTGCAATGTTTTTCTATATACCGGACAGCCTGATCTTCCACCCAAATTTTGTGTGAAACTATTCTACCATTGGCGATAGATAAGTATGTCTTACAGAACTTCCCAGTGTACATTGCTGGGTGAGTGTTTGGGTCTACTCCTATTTTTGGTCTTAACACTCCCCCACTGGACTGGGTATGAACCCTTAGTAAAACTTGCCAAAATTCTATTTTTCATGACTGATTAAAAGTTCATTAATACCTTCATATAACTGTCATTTGTATGAAAAAAAAAAACATACCAAGACAAATCCAAGTACATTTTTGAACTTCTATAGATGTAGTTTTTTCTTTGATAAAAAGCTGAACTTCATTTGCGGGTTTACGGTTTCTTTAAAAGATTAGTTACAACATCCTACATTGCATTGCCCTAAAATGAATCCTCTGTGGAATTGCTACAGTTTAAAGCTGGTTACGTCACTTTGTTTTGTGGTTCTTTAGCAAAGAATGATAAATTCCAAAAACCATAAATGTTTTAAAAAGGTAGCGATCATCATAATGGGTCTGACTGCAAAGTCTTGTTGAAGTCACAATCTGTTTCCAGTAGAAACCATGTGTTTGGGGGTTGTGTTTTTTTTTTTCTTAATATTTTTGGACTATGATGTGTTTGTACAATTCATTCTGCCATCACAAAGTAATCGTCCTGTGTTCATGCATCTTATTTGCAGTTTTTGAACCAGAACAGACAAGCGCTTGAGATGAAGGTTGAGACACTGAATTCTGGTGGTGCCGGAGTGATGAGACCAGTTATGCAGACGCCTGTTGGATCACAAGTAAGTGAAGTTCTTTCTAATTTTAACGTTTTGTGTGTATTAACCCACGTTTCTCTAAGAGTTTCTATATGCATGTCACGGCACCTAAAACAGCTCTGTCACTTAACCATTTTGTTCTGTAATGATGGAGTCTGACTACACCATACAGACTGCATTATGGGGAAACTTTATTTTTAAGAACATTGGTGGTGTGTCTTGCTAATCAACATGTCTTCAACAGCAGGGATTTCTTAACGCTCAGATGGTCGCCCAGAGGAACAGAGAGTTGATCAGCCACCATATCCGGCAGCAGAGAATGGCCATGATGATGCAGCAGCAACAAGGACAACCTCAAGGCTTCAGCCCACCTCCAAATGTTACTGCTTCTGCCAGTATGGAGAACCCCTTAGCTGGACCCCCAATGCCTCAAGCTCCTCCACAGCAGTTCTCCTACCCACCCAACTATGGTAAATAATTACCTTTTTTTCCATCATCATTTTGGGCAACCAAATTTCTCTGTGCATTAGAAACTGTAACTAAAACAAAGTGCCGTTCATGTTATTGACAAGTTATTTAATAGAAAGAAAAGAAAACCAAAGGAAAAATATCCAGGTACACATGGGTTCTATACCAAATTGCAGACTTTATTGAAGTTGAACAGGCAAGGTCAATAAAGTCTGCAATTGGGGATAGAGCTTACGTGAGCCCGGTTATTTTTCCTGTGGTTTCAAATACGTCCCTCTTGACTTGTGTCTCTGACTGCCTCTCTGCTATTTCTAACTGGATGGCTGCTCACTTCCTTAAACTCAACTTGACGAAAACTGAAATTCTGGTCTTTCCTCCCTCAAGTGTTGCTACTCCTGTGTCTGTCTCCCTCCAAGTCAACAGTGCTACCATCAGCTCCACCACGAAGGCTCGCTTAGGTGTTCTCTTTGACTCTGAACTTTCCTTCACGCCTCACGTTCAGTCAATCGCCAAATCCTGCCTCATCTTCCTGTCCGCCCGCACCTCCCATGCCTCACCCTTCTGTCAGTCCCTACATTGGCTTCCTGTAAGATCTAGGGCTCATTTTAAAATTCTGGTTCTTGCTTCCAAATCTCTACATAATGCTGCTCCCACCTATCTATCCTCCCTTATACACAAGTATGTCCCGTCTAGGCCCTTATGATCTGCTGAAGACTTACGTCTATCTTCTGTCCGTACTCCCACCTCTGATGCTCGCTTCCAAGATTTCTTGAGGGCTCGACCGTTCCTGTGGAACTCTCTTCCCTCCTCCGTTAGATGCTCACCCAGTCTCCACTCCTTCAAAAAATCGTTAAAAACCCACTTCTTCATAAAAGCGTATCAATTAAATTTTTAATAGTTCCCGACTGATTCCTCTTCTGCAACTGTCACTAGTCTAATATTATCCTTACCTTTTTGTCACTTTACCCCACTCCCTCTAGCATGTAAGCTCATTGAGCAAGGCCCTCAACCCCTCTGTTGTTGGTGCTATATAAATAATAATAATGAGAGACTGCTAATCGCCCTGGTCTATGTGGCACCATATTGTTCATCCCCTATCTTGATTGTTGCGTGCCCTTCCTTTTGAAAACTTTAGAAATAAAGCAAAGAAAACCAAACGGTCATTGGTGTCTATACTGTGGGTAAGGTGCCTTGCTTCTGTCGTATTATGGTTTGTACATACTTTGGAAGAGAATTTGTGAAAACTCCAGGTAAAGCACATAAGAGGAAGCTTGTATTTTCTGCATTTGAATGATTTAACGCTTATTGTTATCATTTTAGGAATGAATCAGCAGCCTGACCCCACGTTTGGAAGGGTATCAAGCCCGCCTAATGCTATGATGCCATCACGTATGGCACCTTCACAGAACCCTCACCCTCAGACCACACAAATGTACCAGTCACCCGACATGAAAGGCTGGCCGTCAGGAAACATGGCAAGACCCAAGTAAGCCATCGCTTTAATTTAAGAAATGAACAGCCTCTATTGCCTAATGGGTTTTTATTATATTTTGTGTGTAGGGTGTCCAGGTAGGGCCGTGGGTGAAACACGGGGTGTATATATTATTAAATGTTAAGAAGTTTGAGTAAGCTTTTAACAAAAGTTTCTTTATTTACTGACCTCAACAGATAAATATTGAACAATAAAACTGCTTTCTGCTTTAAGATCAAGAACAAAAATCTGCTTGGTGACTTTGGTCACAATCAGTGTCATTGGTGCTGGGGATCAGACAAGTTGTTGGTCATTTTAGGAGATCCTTAATGTCCACCTGTTGGGGCAATTATCAGTACAGGAACGATGAAACATGGAAGCTTTGCAACTCTGTTAAAGCAGTTTGTGCTCTTATGAGCTTTTTTTTTTTTAGATATTTAAAACAAAAAAATAAACCTGGATTGTTTGCTAAAATGTGAAATGTCAAAAATTCTAAATGAATTTCAAATCTTATGACAATATACACTAATTAAATGAATTCTAAAAAAAAAAAAGTAAGCTATGTTTTTATTTTGCTGTAGTGGTTATGATGCCAGGAGGGCATTGCTGCCCGATCTCTCACTGCATGTAGTAAATTCATTTTAGAACATTCTTAGCTCGGGTCTACCAAGCGTTGCCCGCTGCCTCCTCTCTGGCGTTGGGAGAGCCAGACTTCCCTCCTTATTAGCTTCTGTTGGATCTCCTGAGCAAAGCTCTGCAGTTAAAATTTAGCTAATTTATTGAGTGTGTCAGCTGATGACTTTCGGCCAATGAGCGAAGACCTGTACTGTGCTGCAGCCAAGTCTCTGGCGCTCTAAAGGCTGTAGTGGAGGTGGGGAGTGGCACTTTGCAGGCTCTTAGTTAAGTCAAGGCGTTCTATAACAATTTGACATGTGGGTGAGTCATGGCACTTGTGTTTATGGCTGCTCTGAATGTTCCTTTGACCAGACCCTTGTGAAACATTGTGTTTTTGCTTAATGTCCTCCTGCAGCTCCTTCCCCCAGCAGCAGTACAGCCACCAGCCCAACCCTGGAACTTACAACATGATGCACTTAAACGGGAATGGAAGCCACATGGGACAAATGAACATTAACTCCTTACCTATGCCTGGGATGCCTATGGGACCTGATCAGGTATGGCATTATCAATTATTATTTCAGTGTCAGAAAGGAAAGGGTTAACCATATCTCCATATTACGGTGGTCATGGAGCTAAGAGATTATGGGTTAACACGTTCTGGTTTTGTTTAGCAGTTGTTTTTTGTTATAGTATAAAATAAATGAATTTCCTGGCAATCGATCCTCTTCTAGAGATCTCCTAATGGAAAAGTTTCCATCTTCACAATCCATTTAAAAATAAGATACACTGAATAGGAAGATTTGGCACCAAAAGTGCTCATAAAACTGACAAACCGTTACACTCGTATAAGTAAAAATTAACATAATTTTAGCCATAGTTTTTTGCTTCCCTCCCCCTTCTGTCTTCTGCCTGCCCACGCAGCTCTCGGCAAGCTGGCAAGAAGTGACTTGGACTCTGGCAAAACTAATGCTTTGACAGTGGCCTGGTTGCGTGCGCTACTAAAGAGTGACTGGGCCCTTGATCTAAGATCGTTCCAGAGTCCCACAATGACCCGATGGGCCCTTATGGCTGCACTGCCATCTATTCAGACTCCAGACAGAATAGCCTGCCCCCCTCCTGCAGGTCCATGGTTCCAGCCACACGTGCTGCATCTTATCTTGTTCCCCTGTGCTGCTGAGCCGAGAGGAAGTCAAATGTAATCACTTCCTCCCAGCACAGCAAGCGCTTGGGGGAAACCGTGTGTATTGTATGTTTGACAGCCCTGTTCTAGACAGTCCATGTCTTTACTGTTCTTGTCCCCAGTATGTGTTCATTTTAATAAACCCAGGGGACTATCATGAGATAATACTTTTTGAAAATTATTTGAATGGTATATGTATGCCAATTTATCCAAAAACGTCAAGAAGCAGATTTAGCCGAAGTTCTATTTTTTTTTTTTTTCAACTTGTATCTTCCCAGAGAAGAAACTACATCTTGTACCATCATAGATCACAATAGTGGTGCTAAGCCTATGTATGTTTGACTTTTTTCTATTTTTCCCCCCACCTTAAAACTGTATTCTCTTCTTTCTAACAGAAATATTGCTGACATGGCAACTATTCTCACAATGAAAACTCTGCAGTTGAACGCAAGATGCACTATAGAGGAAAATAAATACAAATTCAGATATATAAATATATATATATATATTTACGCAGCAAGTAGCTCACTTGCATTGGCCTTACAGAGGGGAACAGATGTTTTACTCCTAACCTCCGAAAAGGGCCTTTTATAATCTTGTAACAGGATTTTTAAAACACAAAATGTTGGAAGGCGGAAAAGCAAGAAAATCCATGGTCTTTATAAAAAAACACACTGTATTAAAAAGGACTTGATATCACTTGGTGCTCAGTGGATTACGATGTGAATTGACAGCAAGATTTTAGTATGTAAGATGGTAGCTGTGTGTGGTAGATTTTGTTTTATTTTGCAATTTCTTCTTCATTATCGCCCTAATCAGTCAACTTTTCAGCCTCAAAGTACCTGGAAAAGGTATTATTTGGAAAAATATATATTTATATATTTTTTTTAATTTTATTTTTGACATTTTAAAATTACTGGCGCAATATATGTATTTTATTTTGGTTATTTTAAATTACTTCCAAATTCTTGATGTGAAACTCAGACCCAAACATATATATAATTCTACATTTTTATTTTTCCTTGGACTTTTTCAACTTTTCGTGTAAGACAGCCGTGATTTTTGACTTGAGGCGATTAGTTATGGCCAGTTTAAGAAGTTACTCCCAACAATGGACCACACTTCACACCAATGTGCAGGAGATTTGCACTTTATGAGAAACTGATTACAGAGAAAAAGAGTTCGTAGTTTTCTTGAGATTTGCAGTAGGGCCCTTTAAAAAAAGAAAATGTACTTTTTAGCTATAAATTTGGTGATAAGGCAATTATACCTGTCCCAACATTCTATTTTAACCTGTACACATTTTTTGTATATATCTTGATAGTGTATTGTATATGACTTTTGTAGGTCACCGTTTTTCTTGAAATACAGTTTTTAGTTTATTATTTTTTTTACCCCCCTTTTGTTGAACTCTAAAAGTTTGATAATATATGGTCTTGTTACCACCATAAAGTTAGACTTCCATTCCTGTTTGGCAACAATGGGGTTAAATATAAATTCTGAAAATGCTGCTTTAGAACATTACAAAATATTCCTTTTTATGTTTAAGCACCTTGGATTAAAATTATGTATCCCAACAAGCAGACACCCTGCAACTCTCTCCACCTAGTTACGAACCATGATTCCTGCGGGGCCAAGAGAACTACGGTTGAATTGCTGTGGAAGATTATGCAAAGGATTTCTTTCTCATTGTGGTTAGCTAGTCCCTCTTCAACGGGTTAAAAAATAATGACTGTAATCCTTTGAATCCAAACAGATTGATTTGGGGGACCATCTAAGTGCGGATGAATTTGTTGGAAGCAATTGCTATGGTGGTTAAAATAGTAGATGTTAAAACCTTAATATTTCACAAGATTTGCTTTGTACTTTTAGTACAATTGTAGTTTAATATCTAGAGCGGTGTGATGAGGTCGTTTTTGGCCTCGCTCTTTTAAAGCCGTGAACAATTCCAGTGTAAAAAAGTGTTTGAGGATTTATAATTTAGCTTTTGTTTGTTTTGATTTGAGGTGGGATAAAGCAATATCTGTGTTCTGTGTTTTATACGCCAAGATTCATTTTCCAGTTAATTTTCTTTGTCTCTACTTGTCTTTTCCCATCTATCTTGCCTTGATACATGGCAAACCTATGTTAGTCTGCGTTATTTGTGTTTAACTCATTCTTGGGTTTTCTCCCATCATGAAATATTTTTTATGTGAGCATTGATTATATTTGCAAATATAAAATACATAAGGTTTTCATTTTACTAAGATTGCCTTTCGCCTGCTCGAAGTCAATGATTTCTAATCTTGGCCTACAAAATGTTTCAAAAATACATTTTTCATGGTGCTCATCCAGTGTTTGCCTGAAAACAAATGAACTGCCAAGATTGCCGATCACTGATTTAGGCCATCGTCATAAAAGTTTAAAATTTTAGCCGCGATCTGGAAGCATAAGCTCTTTGTTCAACTATCAATTTCTTTTTTTCAGCACATAGTCAATGTCATTATAAAACTGATTTATAAGCTATAGGAAAAAAACTGTGCAAGTCAAGCGCTCGGATTCTTAGCAGACCTCATTATAATGACCTTCTGTCTGTTCTATAGAGTACGTGTGACCACGATCCCTATAACTAAGTGAATTCTACTTTCTCAGCTGTTGGCATACCTTACAGCTCTTGCTAATTTTGTATTCCATAAATATGGCATCTTAAATACTACTGGTAACAGCGCAACGTGCATATGCTTTCTTAGCCTTTGTAAATCTATTGAAATCGAACCCTCGGGTAAAAATTTGCAATGTCATTTCCACTATTAAAGTATCACTATAGTGTCAGGAAAACAAACTGGTTTTCCTGACACTATAGTGCCCTAAGGGTGCCCCCACCATCAGGGTCCCCCTCCCTTGGCGCCGAAGGGGTTAAAACCCCTTCAGCAGCTTATTTTAATCCAGCGCTGTTGACCTCTCCTGCCCCGCCGACGTCAGCTCCCGAGTGGAGTGCCACACGCGCATTCCAACAGTCCATAGGAAAGCATTCTCAATGCTTTCCTATAGTCGTTCTGCACGCTGGATACGAATTTCGCATCCAGCGTCGCAGTTGCGCCTCTAGCGGCTGTCAGGAAGACAGCCACTAGAGGTTGGACTAACCCTGCAATGTAAACATAGCAGTTTCTCTGAAACTCTGATCGTTCTTTCCAAAAAATATAGATTTGTTTCTAAGAAAGGATAACACTCGAACATTCTGCAAAACGTTTAATAGAACAACTATCTATTCAAATAGAATTATTTTTTATTTATTTTTTAAAGTGAGGCCATTGCCAACTACATGTAGCATTTATTGTCTGTCTCCTGTGTGGGGAAAGCTATCTGTAGTAAGTTAATCAAAATTTGAACTAGAAATTCACTTTGAATTCCTTGTAATGTTCACTTGAGTTAAAAAAAACAAAAAACCTGATTATCAGGAAAAACATTCAAACCAACACTGTGAGAATTTTTCCCACCATTTTGGGAACTATATTTTGAATGTTTGCGGACACAATTATTTCAAATTTGTTTTCCAAAAATCCCACAGGTGCTTTTGGAATTTTAGTAATGTTGCATTTTTCCCCCCCTCTATTTATTAAATGTCACCATTTTAAGAAAACTGCAGCCTCTCCTGTTGGCAGAGAATCTGCAGTTAAAGCAATAATGTCCCCATCCCCACCTCTCACCCCCCTGTGCCTTTATAACTTATGATTTGACTTGGCAATTTTTTTTTTTCCCTACCAAAAAAACCCCACCCTCTGAAAACGTCGCCGATCTGCCATTGATATTGTTTCTTACATAATTGGTGGTAGTTTGAGGCGGTCTGCAGACGTTTGTTCAACAAAATATAAATATAGAACGTCTAATTGTTATATGGAAAAATGTGTAAAACTGTATATTTCTATTGATGTAATAAAAAGTTTAGAGCCACGTTTTTAACCCTTCTGTTGCCAGCAAGGGGAAGTAAAGTGGGTTTTAAATAACTGTATTTAAATAACATTCGTTTATCTCTCCTGTTTGTTTCAAAGCTTTCTTCTCTTCGTTTTTTTGCTGTGTATAGTTTTCCAATGCTGTAAGAATGTACAGGCAGTGTGTGCAAGGTCAGACATCTTAATTCATGCTACAAAATTTTTTGTCATTTGTCCATAATAATAATTCCTGTTAAAAATAAATTTTAAAAAAAAATGAAAAACTCTTGTTTTTTTTAAAATGGTTTGTAAGCCGTTCATTGAGATACTTATAGTGATGTCGCGAACCATTCGCGAACTTCCCGCGAACGGAACCGCGGCGAGCTCCGGTCAGCTGACACATCCCGGCCAATCTCCAGCAGACCCTCCCTCCCAGACCCTCCCACCTCCTGGACAGCATACATGTTCAACATGTATGCTGTCCAGGAGGTGGGAGGGTCTGGGAGGGAGGGTCTGCTGGAGATTGGCCGGGATGTGTCAGCTGACCGGAGCTTGCTGCGAGCGGTTCGTGGCGAACCGCGGGAAGTTCGCGACATCTCTAATTTATAGCAATTGATAAGATCTCGGTTGCTCACTATACATAAAACGTATCTGTTTATTATTTGCATATTACTACAAACTGCCCTTGGGAAGAGTGTGATGTGCCCTTGAAATCTTCCTAGATTTAAAAAAAAAAAAAATAAATAAAAAATTTCAAAAAGTTCTTGGAATCCCAAATTCACAAGAAATGAATGTAAGAATTTATTATTTTAATTAATATCGTTTTGTCAGCATAAAAATAAAATAAAGTCTGGTGCTCCCTTTCCTTCTCCTTTAAATTAATTTAAAAAATTTTTTTCCACTATAAAAACTTTATATGACAAAACGTATGCCTGAGTGCATTAAAGTTTATTTAAAGGATAGTTGCGGAAACCAGATAGGTCTAACTTTATATATATATATATATATATATAATTTTTTTTTTTTATATATATAATATGATCATGTTCCAGCAAACCAACGTGACGCTGACGAAGACATAAAATTTCAAACTAGGAAGAAAAATATTTTTAAGGTCCACGGAAGAATTAAAATGCAATTGTTTGCGGCTCATTGTGCAGATTTGTTTTTTTGTTTTTTTTAGATTTGTGTAAACCGTTTAAAATTTACAGCAGTTTGTGAAATCATTATTCCAAAGTAGCAATATTTTAAAAAATGTTTTAAATAAAATGAAAAAAAAATAATCTCAGGAGAAGGCTTACAACTTTAAAAATTAAACCAGTTTACAGGAGAGGCTGAGTGAGATCTGATTTTACACTACTGCAGGCTCGGCAGGACAAGGAATAAAAGTACTGGATGTAAGCTGTACGTACTCTTCTGACTATGTCCCTTGTTTGTTAATATTAATGTAAATAAAGGTTTCTATTTAAACTGGTTTCTGGCTATTATTTTCCCTTGTATATGTAATGCTGGCTTTGTTATAAATGGAAGGACTATTTGACTTGTTGTTTTTGCAATGATTATGTTAACTGGCTTCTGCTCTGTAAAGCTTTTGTCTTTTTTTCCCCCTTCCCCTCAGTCTTTTTCCCCTTCCCCTCTGTGTCTTTGTCCCCTCTTCCCCCCTGTGCTCTTCTTTTGCTCCCATTCTATGCCCCGATCTGTCAGGAAGTAGTGTTTTGCTTTTAGTAAGCACTTCCTGTCAGACTGGGTAGAAGATACGGACACTCCTCTCCTCAGTCTGCTTGCTCGACCATGCTACATGCAGACACACTGCACAGAGCTCCCCTCCTGCCGGTCACCTGCTAATCGTGCCACTCAGTCTCCTGAATGAGTGGCACCCACGGAAGACCGCTGTAGATATATCCACACTAACCTTGTATTAAATAATGTATAACCATTAAATACTTCATGTTGTTAAAGGGACACTATAGGCACTCACACCACTTCAGATCATTTAACCCCTTCCCGACCGAGGACGGTTCAGGACCGTCATCGGCATTTTTGCGTTGCCGACCGATGACGGTCCTGAACCGTCCTAACGGTCAGAGCTACTTACCTGATCGCCGTCGTTCCCCCGGCGGCGATCAGCGTGGCTCCGGTTGTGGGGAGACTGCCTGCGGCCCAGACAGTCTCCCCACGGCAGATTAGGACCCCTGTGGCCATGTGATCGCTTAACACAGCGATCACATGGTCACAATAGGTGTCCTAGTGTCTGCCTGCAGGGGGACTGTCTGTGCTGACAGGCAGTCTCCCTGCAAGTGTAAAATCATTAAAAAAAATAAAGTTAATGTTAATAAAAAAAATAAAAAAATTATATATGTATATATATGATATATAGACATATATTATATCTATATAATATGTCTATATATCATATATATATAATGTCATACTAAGTGTATTTTTATATTAATATGTACTTATATTAATATAAAAATACACTTATAATTAAATTACACACGTATATATATAATATATATAATAACTATATATATTGTATATATATATTATTATAAAATATAAATAATAAGTAATTTAAATTAAATAAACCTTTTTTTAAATAATAATACAAAATTTAAAAAATATATATATATCTATATGAAATTTTATTCTAACTGTATTTTAAAATTAATATATATATATTTATATCAAAATACACTTAGAATGAATTTGTATATATATCTATGTATATAAAAATAAATAAAAATAATAAGAAATATACATACGTTCATATACAAAATTACATAAATAATTATATAAATATACACGTAGACTTCAAATATATAAATATGCATATATATTTAAATTCTAAGTGCATATTTATGTAATATTTTTACATAATTCAGTAATTTTATTGATTGCAATTTGAGGGACCTGCCTGCCAACCCAGGCCGAAATTCCAGAGAATTTAATTTGTTAGCACTGTATTTTACCCTGTAACGTTCTACGACACCCTAAAACCTGTACATGGGGGGTACTGTTTTACTCGGGAGACTTCGCTGAACACAAATATTAGTGATTCAAAACAGTAAAACATATCACAGTGATGATATTGTCAGTGAAAGTTACTTTTTTGCATTTTTCACACACAAACAGCACTTTTACTGATGATATAATTGTTGTGATACGTTTTCCAGTTTTTAAACACCAATATTTGTGTTCAGCGATGTCTCCCGAGTAAAACAGTACCCCCCATGTACAGGTTTTATAGCATTTTTGAAAGTTACAAGGTCAAATATATGGGTCAAATATTTTTACATTGAAAATGGCCAGGTTGGTTACGTTGCCTTTGAGAGCGTATGGTAGCCCAGGAATGAGAATTACCCCATGATGGCATACCATTTGCAAAAGAAGACAACCCAAGGTATTGCAAATGGGGTATGTCCAGTCTTTTTTAGTAACCACTTAGTCACAAACACTGGCCAAAATTAGTGTTCAATTTAGTTTTTTTACTTTTTTCACACACAAACAAATATGAATGCTTACTTTGGCCAGTGTTTTCGACTAAGTGGCTACTAAAAAAGACTGGACATACCCCATATTGAGTACCCTGGGTTGTCTACTTTAAAAAAAATATGTACATGTGGGGTGTTATTCAGAGATTTATGACAGATAATAGTGTTACAATGTCACTATTGATAAATTTTTAAAATGTATGTTTTTAAACCGCAATATCCTACTTGTACCTATAGCCCTATAACATGCAAAAAAAAGCAAAAAAGCACGTAAACACTAGGTATTTTTAAACTCAGGACAAAATTTTGAATCTATTTAGCAGTTTTTTCATTCGCTTTTGTAGATGAGTAAAAGATTTTTCAAGTAAAAGTCAAAAAACATGTATTTTTTTCAATTTTTCATCATATTTTTTTATTTTTTTTAAATTAAAATACATGAGATTATATAAATAATGGTATGTAAAGAAAGCCCCTTTTGTCCTGAAAAAAACAATATATAATTTGTATGGGAACAGTAAATGAGAAAGCGGAAAATTACAGCCAAACACAAACACCACAAAAGTGTAAAAATATGCCTGGTCGCAAATGTACAACATCGCAAAAACAGTCCAGTCCTTAAGGGGTTAAATGGTCTGGGTGCAGTGTCCCAGGTCCCTTAACCCTGCATGGTAATTATTGCAGTTATTGATGAACTGCAATAATTACCACAGAGGCTTAACTACACCTCTAGTGGTGGTCTAGCAGACAACCACAAGAAGAACTTCCGGGTCGTTAGGTAATTTTTGGTGGCCTGACGCTGGGCATCCTCACACTATGCATGAGAACATCCAGCAAGACCCCAAAGGACAGCATTGGGAAGCCCTAATGTAAGCGCAGTGCATACCGCACCTTAGTCGGCTGATGTCGGCAGAGCCTAAACCAGCTCAGTCAGGAATCAGGTACGTGACAGGTGGTGGTTTTTTTTGTGGTTTTTTTTAAACTCCTTCTGCACCACGAGGTGGCGTTTCCTGGCACTATAGGTTCTCTTTAAATGTGTGCATGGATATGGAACTTGACTAATTTAAAGCGGAAACGTCTCTTTTTAGAAAGTTACATTGTTGAATAATACATTGAAAGTCGGCTACATTGTTTGTCAGCCTTTTACATGCAATACTGCATTTCTTTTTAAATGTACAGGAAAGATTTGGCAAATTATAGCACAATCAAGTTTTAGTCCAGAGCACATTTTGTAAATTAGACAAAAGGAAACTTTGCATAATTTAGCCTCTTCTCTGTATGCTTTCTCTATGTTGACTGCCAGGTACAAAGGACAGAGCTTATTACAATGATTGAGAGGGAGCTAGAATGGAAGTGCCCAGTTGCAGGATTAAGAGTTAAGGTTTCGTACATATAATTTAGGTTTTCACACTTTACACGTGTATATATTTGCTAAATATAGCGGAATAAGTAAGCATAGTATGAAAACCCCACAGTTCCCTTTTAATGTTTATTTTTGATGAATATTTTTGTAAAGGTAAATAAACGAATATATATTTTTTTGACTGTGGATTATACTCTTCGCTCAACAGTCAGATATTATAAAGCTGTCCACACCTTACTGACGTAATGTGTAATATTAGAGATGTAATAGTGTTATCTATTTCAAACAAGTAACATGACAACATATTGAAAAATTCAAATATAGTTTATTTGATTAAATAGGGGATGTGGTGGGAGGTAAGGCAAGAAGAAAAAAAAAATTCACATTTTGCAAGTTTCTCTCTCTTCAGTCATTCAGACTTCTTCACTCCTGCCCTTCTTTCTGTAAGACGAATGATATAGATTAAATTAAACAGGCTGCAGCTATAATCCAAGGTTATGCTCTTGAGTTATACAAGTCCCCCTCTATTAAAAAGCTTGATAATGCCAGTTTCGAGAATACTACTTCATCCATAAAGAACTTTTAGGGTAAATAACTAAAGATAAACTGAACATGATTGAAAAATTGTATCACCAGTGACTTAGAACTAGGGTTGTACCTTGCCGACATCACGGCTCTTAGCTCTGAGCTTGTTCACTTGAGACTCAGCAATGTCTGCTCTCTCCTCAGCTTCCTCTAGTTCATGCTGGACCTTCCTGAACCGACCCAAGTGAGCGTTGGCTTGTTCCTCCTGAGACACAAGAATAGATGAGGGAAAATTAACAAGGTATTAAAAAAAATAAATAGATCACTACTTAGGGGAAACAGGGTATTCTAATTAGTCTTTGGCTGGCTACAAAAAAAAGAACCCATTAGGTTTGTACTTACAGATTCCTCAGCTTGTCTCTTGTAGGCCTTTACTTTCAGCTGCAGTTTGTCCACCAGATCCTGCAATCTCAGGACATTTTTCCTGTCTTCTTCAGTCTGAAAGAGGAAAAACAGTTTTTTTACAGAATCTATCAGAGATCATGGCATTATTTTTTTTTTTGTAATTCGTGTTATTTTGACCAGTGTCATTTTAATACACAGAAGAATAATTCTTTACCTGGTAAGATAGCTCCTTCACTCTCCTCTCGTATTTGCGCACACCTTTAATTGCCTCAACTCCACGCTTCTGTTCATTATCCAGTTCGTTCTCTAGTTCTCGAACCTGCAGATCACATCATCAGAGTACAGATTATTATTTTGCAACTTTAAAATTCAACCTCATTCACCACAACCCAGTGATGTGTACGTACTCTGGACTCAAGCTTCTGAAGCTGCTTCTTGCCACCTTTCAGTGCTAGCTGCTCAGCTTCATCCAGACGATGCTGCAGATCCTTCACGGATTGCTCAAGATTCTTCTTCATTCTCTCCAAGTGAGAGCTGGTGTCCTGCTCCTTCTTCAGTTCCTCTGCCATAAGAGCAGCCTTCGTAATAAAAAAAAAAAATCCAAAAAGACTGTAAATAATAGAGCAAAAAAGCAAACCCAAGATCTGCTCATAAAGTGAAAACTTGGGAAAAACATACATCAGTGATGGCCTTTTTGGCTTTCTCCTCAGCATTTCTTGATTCTTGGACAGCTTCCTCAGCTTCGCTCTGGAGTTGAGCAATGTCAGACTCAAGCTTCTTCTTGGTGCCGATGAGGTTGGTGTTCTGAAGTGGAGAAGAATATAGTGTTTTAATTATTCCATCTAATTAGGCATATTCTGTCAATGCACATTTAATTTGTTTCCATCGTATTTATTTTACCTGTGAGTGCAGAAGCTGGACACGTTCACTTGCATCCAGGAGCTCTTGTTCTGCAGCCTTACGAGATCTCTCTGTCTGCTCCAGAGCAGACCTGTTCTCTTCAAGTTCAGCCTGCAGCAGGTTGGTTCTACGTTCAATCACAGCCACCTGTTCCTTCAGATCTTCCTGTCCTCTTATTGCATCATCCAGGTGAAGCTGGGCATCCTGTTAAAGAAATATCAAAATATATGTTCAAGCTGTTACCTATTATGGACAATATGCTAGATACCACATTTTCAGAATCAACAGCTCTAACATTAGAGTAAAAATAATAAATAATGTGTTAGGGGTACTCTTGAAATACCTTAAATTGGGCCTGGACATTGCGGAGCTGCTTCTGTGCCTCTGCAGCCTGGCGGTTGGCATGGCTGAGCTGGATTTCAAGTTCATTCAAGTCTCCTTCCATCTTCTTCTTCAGTCTCAGAGCATCATTCCTGCTTCTGATTTCAGAGTCCAGTGTGCTCTGCAGGGTATCAACAGCTCTCTGGGAGTTCCTCTTCAGCTGTTCAATCTCTTCATCCTTCTCTGAAATTTTTCTGTCCACCTCAGATTTGATCTGGTTCAATTCCAGCTGAACACGTAGGATCTTGGCTTCTTCATGTTCCAAAGATCCCTATTAGAAATATATATATATATAATTGGTTGTTTAAACGTATCTGTTCACACAGCAATATTGGTTGCAGATATTTTATTAATTTATTTCAGGCACATACCTCTGCTTCCTCCAGAGCAGCCTGTAGGTCACTCTTTTCCTGCTCAACTTGCTTCTTGGCCTTCTCCAGCTCGTTAATGGATTTACCAGATTCACCGATCTGTTCAGTGAGATCTGAGATCTCCTCTATAAAAGTTATGGGCAAATATTCATTTAGACTTCGCTCTATAGTAACTAGTATTTAAGATTTTTGTAAGTTCTGCAGAAATTCAGCAGTACTAATATATGTAAGGATTGGTTCTGTTGTGACACAAGTACTACAGAAGGAGGAAAATACAACAAAGAGATTTAGGAAACCTAAAGGTCCCATTTTATACAAACATTTATATAATGTCATCACAGTTCAGTAATTTGCATAGTTCCACTTCTTGTGTATGTGTTTTTAGTTGCCATCTGTATAATTATACTAATGCGAATACTAGAAAATATGTTTAATTTGAAGAATTATTTAAAAGTTAGCATTGTATCCTGCAACCAATGTAATATAGATAAACCTACGTTGCAAGTTCTTGTTTTCACGTTTCAAGGTCTCAACTTGTTCCAAGGCTTCCTCATAAGCATTCTTCAGCTTAAAGATATCGGTGCTCAGGCCACGGGATTCTTTCTGAGCAGCCTCCAGCTCAGCCTGACCCTCTTCATATTTCTGCTTCCATTCTACCAGCACCTATTATATTAATACAGAATGATAATGTGTTGATAGTGTAGATTTTGTTTGTTTTTGCAAATTTAGGAATTTGTTTTCAATAACTACCTTGTCGAAGTTCCTCTGCTTCTTGTCTAGAGCAGCTGCTGCACTGTTGGCTCTCTCAACATCCACCATCAGGTCCTCCACCTCAGATTGTAGCCTCTGCTTGGTCTTTTCCAGGGAGGCACATTTAGAGTTCACGGCCTCTACCTGTTCCTCAGCGTCCTGCAAGCGCTGGGCAAGCTTCTTCCTGTAAGGACATTGATGGTAGAACTTAAGGACCTTATTCAAAGCCCAATAACATTGCTTATATTGGGTTTATTTAGTGGGAACATACTTGGCCTCTTCCAGTTCCTCTGTGCGCTGAATGGCATCCGTTTCATATTTGGTCCTCCATTGAGCAACTTCACCATTTGATTTGGACAATGAGCGCTGAAGCTCAGCCTTGGCCTCTTGTTCCTCCTCATATTGCTCACGGAGCAAGTCGTTGTCATGACGGGAGGATTGGAGGGCGTGAGCTAGGGCATTCTTAGCCTGAAAAAACGCAGGAAATATGTATTTGATGGAATTACAGAATGAAAGGTTTGAAAATGAATGTTAGATAGCAGGTGATCTCTTTATAGACTTAATCCGATGCCCTAATCAACAATTTGTAATACATTCATATTCAGAAGTCCTAATAGTTTTACCTTTGATTCCTCCTCAAGTTGTCTCTTGAGTTCCTCCACTTGTTGTGTGAAGCCTTGCTTTCCTCTTGAGAGCTGTGAAACCAGAGATTCCCTCTCTTCAAGCTGGCGGGCAAGCTCACCTAGAGTGAACCAAAAATTAATGCAAAACTTTGCAAACATAAATAAGCAATGTTGTATGTAGCAATGTTCTGAACTAAATTACTATTTAATTTGACTTGACAATGGGGTGCCTTGGCTACCCACTTGGAAATAGGTTGGGCTTCTCACCTTTAAGTCTCATATTTGTCTGGGGGAAATTGCAAGATAGTTCTTTTAAATTTCAAAGGTTTTGATATTTGGGAAAATACTGCTTCCTTGACTATATGCATGGCACACCAGTAACAGGCTTCCAAAATGTAACCACGCAAGTCCCGCTCTACTCAGACTTTTTAAAATGCATTGAAACCTACTGACCTCTGGTGGAGTGGTTGTGGCAAGCAGGACAGGTACATTCAGCCTTTCTGGTATGCGGTTTATTTTCTTATCTCGAATGTTCTGTCTAAAGTTTTTTTCTCATAGTAATTGGTATTTACTCCTCTCTAAACCTCAGGACCCACTCACAAGTGCCACAACTAAATGCGCAGCTAAAATTGCATTGGCAAGCCAAAGAGCCACAGCGGAACTGTGGCCGGATAGTAAACAACCCCAGTATGTCCACATTTATCTGCAAAATCAGCAAAGCAAGGGATAAAATGACTGCTGTAGTTCACGATACCCCCAAAACATTTAATAAAATACAGGATTCTTGCCTCTCTTTCCCTCATTTTCTCTAGCCAATTTCTCGACTTTTCTTCTCTAATTGTCTTTATATGCACCTTCCTGTCATTTTTTTTTTCTAGTTTTCCTGGGTGTATTGTTACTTCAGTCAATCACTTATATCCAAGTACACCATTTATTGATTCTGCCTGTATTACTTATGCTGCCATTATTGTTAATGAATATATTCTCCTATTTTCATTTATGGGGCTTTTTATTGAATTTACAAAAAAGGAGAATGTGAAAGGTTAAAATATCCTGTATAAAGACAGATCAAAACAATATATAAAGTTTTATTCCTGGAGTTGAGCTAAAATAAAAGCCTGTGGAAAAGGGTAGACTTGGCCAGGCTTTCAGAAAATTGATGGATTGTGGCTTTTTCCAAGCCAGCTATGTTGGTTTATATTTTGCAATTATCAACTCATGTGTGTTTGGTTTGCTTCGAAATCTTTCAATTTATTTTTCTACATACCATTCTCTGTTTGGAAGCGGGCCCTTTGGGTAGTTAGGTCATTGAGAAGACGTTGATGTTCATCATCCCTTGCCTTCACTTCACTGAGTTGGTCTTCAAGCACACGGTTCACTTTTTCAAGGTTGGCCTAGAAGGAAAATTGTTAATATAATAACTTGCACAGTTATAGATCATAAAAAATAAGTGTTCCCATCTAACCACTTACCTTGGATTTGGAGACATTTTCGAGATTGCTGGCGAGATCATCAATCTCCATTTTCAGCTCACTCTTTTCTTTCTCCAGCTTCTGCTTAACACGTTGTAGGTTATCAATTTGTTCCCCAAGTTCAGCAACACTGTCAGCATGCTTTTTGCGCAGAGTAGAGGAAGTAGCTTCATTCTGAAGGGTAGCTTCCTCCAAGTCACGTCTCAGTTTCTGGAACTCAGCTTCACGCTTCTTGTTCAGCTCAATTTGAGCAGAAGTAGCACCTCCAGCCTCTTCAAGTCTCTCACTGATCTCTTCAAGTTCTCTGGAGAGATCAGCCCTCTGTTTCTCAACCTTGGCACGAGCTGCACGTTCTGCTTCAATTTCCTCCTCAAGTTCTTCAATACGAGCCTAGAACACCAGAAGTAAATGTTGTAGGGAAAACGCAATGTAGCTCACAGGATTACGAAACAGACTCGCACAAACATACCTGAAGTTCTTTGATCTTCTTCTGCAACTGAGATCCCAGGGACTGCTCGTCTTCTATCTTTGACTGAAGCTGACTTATTTCAAAGTCCTTCCTGCGTGTTAACAGAAAATATAATGGCTTTTGTTAAACCGCTCTAAACAAATAGGTTTTAAAACAAAAGAAACAAATATTAACAATAACGACTAACTTCTTGACTTTTTCATCAGTTTGCTGTTTGTCATTTTCAAGATCCATGACTGTTTCCTGGGACAGCTTCAGATCACCCTCAAGCTTCCTCTTGGCTCTCTCCAGATCAAGACGGAGTTTCTTTTCTTGTTCTAGAGATCCTTCAAGCTATAAGGAGAGATAAATCACGTTGTATTACAATGGTTACAAGACAATAGCAAGACAATGTTTTAGAACATAATGTTCCATTTCCACTTGTACGTACGTCATCTACTTGCTGTTCTAGCTTAGTCTTGGCTTTTGTCAAACTGTTGACTTTGTCCTCTTCAGCTTGCAGATCATCAAGTGTTTGTTGGTGAGCCTCTTGAAGGGCTTTCTTCTCCTTGCTAACTTTGGACACATTCTCATCAAGGACTGCAAGTTCCTCAGTGAGGTTTTTAACCTAAACGTATATCAAAAATTGTGATTCAAAATATATAATGCAAGCTTATTAAGCATTAAGTAACAAAAGGGTTATCTTTATTAGTCTTCGCACCTTGTTTTCTGTAGCATGTTTTTCCTTTTCTACTTTGGCCAATGTAAGCTCCAAATCATCAATATCTTTCTTCAGCTCAGAGCATTCATCCTCCAGTTTCCTTTTCTTAGCTGTAAGTTCAGCATTACTTTCCTCTTCATCTTCAAGTCTCTCTGTGATCTCCTTGATTTTAGATTCCAGTTGAATTTTGTTCTTGATGAGGCCTTCACATCTTTCCTCTGCATCAGCCAGAGTCTCACCTTCCTGTATTGGAAATATAATGTATTTTTAGAATATTTGACTTTACTGTTTAGATATACTCTGTTTATATTTGTATGTTCTTACCGACTGAACTTGCAGGAGCAAATCATTCTTCTCCTGAAGCAGGGAAACCATTTTCTCTTCCAGTTCCTTCTTCTTGGCTTCTGACTTTACCAAAGCTTCCTTGGTCTTCTCAAACTCTTCTTTCATGTTTGCCATCTCCTTCTCAGTCTCAGCACTCTGCAGGAGAGGTTTGATCTTGAAGTACAGTTTCATCCAAGGCCAGTGTTTGACATTCATGAATGACCTCACATTGTACTGGATGATGTAGATTGCTTCCCTGTATAATAGATGTACAGAAGCTAATGAAGAGCTTGGTGTAAGAAAAAAGACTTAACACTAAAAAAAATTACGTAAATGTTACCGTCTCTCAATCATCTTCTTGAACTCTGTTCTCATCAAGAAACCTCTGCAAAGAGCTTGAGTGCAAGTAATAAGTTGTGCCAACTTTTCATCTCTCATCTCTTCCAGGGTACCCAGAAGACCAGCTTTGAAGAACACCTGCATAGGAGAGAAAACAATTATAGTATTCTCTAAAACATCAATATAGATGTTAGTATGTAATGTTCCAGTGTCTTCATACCTTAGTGTGGCCAAATTTGTACTGAGTGTGATCAACATCAATGGAGCCCAGAAGTTTCTCAGAAGCCTTCTTGCTGTCAACAAACTGCCCGTCTGGAATAACGCTGGCATTCAACACTTTGTAACTTTAAAAAACAATTTTAGGTTTAAATTCAGGGTAAATGTTTAATTTTATAAACACAATTTTTACTAGTTAAATGGGTTTTTTTTTTTTTTTTTAGCACATACTTGTAAAACAAATACTTATACTTTTAAGTTATCAATTTATTTAAAGTTATTCGTGAAAGATACCGTTGTTTGAAGTCAGCATAGATGATTCTGCTAGGGAATCCTTTCCTGCAAATTCTGATACCCTCCAACACACCGTTACATCTCAACTGGTGGATGATCAGATGGTTTTCCATGATACCTGAAGGAGTTTAAATATGGTCATTGTTTAAGGTGGACAACATCCCAACAGTGAAATACACTGTTCTCTTCTCATATAAATGTATTCATAATGGAAATTTACCTGGAGTTTTGGACTCATTAGGAATCAAACAACGCACAAAGTGAGGGTGAGTGCTTCTCAAGGTGCTCATCAGTTTGTTCAGATTTTCCTGAAACAGATATGGAAAATATGTAATTCAATGTGACGTCTGATGCTTAAAGTGGGGTAGAAATAAAGCTACACTTATTATAAAAAAAGAATACTAATAAATGTCCAGATTTGTGTAAAGTAAACAATATAAAATGTACATACTCTGAACAAAGCAGACACAGTCTGGAAGGAGCCTCCCTTCTTCTTCTTTCCAGCGCTCTTTGCAGCATCTATTGTTTAAGATTAATGGTAGTTATGTGTTAAACTAATAAACGATAATGTGGAAGCAGTCACTAATATTGCATGATACATCTTTTAATACCCACCATCAGTAGCTGAGTAGCTGGAGTAGAGTAAGGACAACAGTTTCACTGAAGACTTCTGGTAAAGCTGAACAACAGAATCGTTCAGTGGGTCCTTGTTCTTGTCCAGCCAGCCACTGATATTGTAGTCCACAGTACCAGCATAGTGGACCAGAGAGAAGTGAGCTTCAGCCTTTCCCTTGGCAGGCTTGGGCTTCTCAAAGTTCTTGCACTTGCCAAGATGCTGTTCATACAGTTTGTTCTTGAAGGATGTGTCAGTGGCTTTGGGGAACATGCACTCCTCTTCAAGGATTGAGAAGATGCCCATGGGCTGAAAATGTACATATCAGTGAGAATTTCATACATCTTAACCTGTGTTTCCACAGCACAACTTCCCTGGATTCATTTTTGGAACCCACCTTCTCAATGAGTTCAATGCAGGCAGCCAGATCCATACCAAAGTCAATGAACTCCCAATCAATGCCTTCCTTTTTGTATTCTTCCTGTTCCAGGACGAACATGTGGTGGTTGAAAAACTGCTGCAGCTTTTCATTGGTGAAGTTGATGCAGAGCTGCTCCAAGCTGTTGAACTGTAGACGACATAATTGTTGAATAAAATGTACTTGGGTTTTAAGTTATAAAAATATATTTGACAAAGTTTGAAATAAATGTTCACTTACATCAAAGATTTCAAAACCAGCGATATCCAGCACACCAATGAAGTACTGTCTTGGCTGCTTAGTGTCCAACTGTTGGTTGATACGTATGACCATCCACAAGAACAGCTTTTCATACACTGACTTGCACAGGGCACCAACTGCGTTGTTACACTGAATGGAACAGACATAGCGTGAGCCTCTGCACAGAACTGCAGACACCTGAACAATAATCAACTGAACACTGGAAACATAATTACCTGTGCGACAGTCTGTCCTTTGGTGACATATTCATTGCCGACCTTTACTCTTGGGTAGCACAGAGCTTTCAGCATATCGGCAGAGTTCAAACCCATCAAATATGCAATTTTATCAGCAACTACAAGTTCAAAATAAAATAATTGTATACATATATTGGAAACCAGTTTCATCTATGTTAAGCAGAGATTAGGTTTCTAATTTATATCCGTAGCAGTTGTACTGAGATTTTTTTCATTGAACACTAAAGACAAACCTTCAGTGCCGTCAGGCTCGGCCTGCTCCTCTCTCTGCTTTTGCTTGAACTTCAGGTTGCCATGGTGCATGACAGCTCCTGTAAGTTTGTAGATACCAATCTTTTCTTCTGCGGTGAAACCCAGGACATCAATGGCACTCTGTAGGATGAGAAAGGACGTTTGAAATTAAAAACCGGCATTCAGAACAGAGTTACAATGTTGTTGCTCTAACAACTTCAGAACTTACATCAGTAGCCATCAATTCATCTTCATCATTAATACTCTTCACAACAATCTCACCCTGGCTGATGGAAGGAAAGTCGTATGGGTTGGTTGTGATCAGAAGTGTTTCTAAAGAAAAAGACGTGTTGCACATGTGTAAAAATAAAACATTACACATGCAATCTCTACAACATTGTAAGTAGGTCTTAACTGTCTCAGTTATATTCTGTCTGTCTATAATTATGGAACCAAATCAGAACCTGGTTATTTGTTCATTGGAGAATAAAAAAATGTTGTTCAATTACCAACAAGTTCTGGTTTCTTGTTTGTCATGATCTGATAGAAGATATGGTAGCTTCTTTCAGCAGACAGCTGGAAGGTAACTCTGGATTTCTCTAGCAAATCTGTTCAAATAAAAGCCAATATAAGAAATATGATATATCCCATTTATAAATAAAGATAAATTAATTTGCAATATATTCCTTACATGTTTCAATATCAGCTGAGGACAGTTTTCCGGTGGTGCCGAAGTGAATTCTGATGAATTTACCCTAAATACCACAGTGAGAGTTTAGTACGCTTGGTTAACAAATGGGGAAACATATAGATGGTAACATGAAAATATCTATTGCCCAACAAAAACTTACAAAACGAGAGGAGTTGTCATTTCTCACGGTCTTGGCATTACCGAAAGCTTCCAGCAGAGGGTTAGCCTCAATGATTTGATCTTCCAGAGTACCCTGTCATACAGGAGTAAAACTTGTTAATTTGGTGAAATTTGTATTTGCACATTTATATCTTATCCTACACATGGAGATAGAAACATTGCATTATGCATAGATGTACTAAATCTACAGTAAAAATGTTCTGCATCTTGTTCTGGATCAGCAGAATATTTGTTAATGAAGATGTGGAGGGGTTTGGTATCTGTTTTCAACCTAGTTAACAACATATGAATAGAAGTCAAGTAAGTGACTTCTCAGTAGCATGACACCAGTGGACAGAGAGTAATGTATAGCAGATTAGATATGCTTTGATTATTTTGGTTCTTTAACTATGTATTAATAATCCCAATAGCTGTATTACCTTCAAGCTGTTAGCTGGCTCCTTTTGTTTGCCTTTCTCTCCAATAGCCGCAATTGTTGCAAAATACTGGATGACACGTTTTGTGTTCACAGTCTTTCCGGCACCAGATTCTCCACTATGGATAAAGAAGATTAAAATATAGAACGTCTAGAAAAGCTGAAGAAATGACTAGAACTTGAAAGATACAATGACAATATACTGACAAAGTACTTACGTAATCAGGACAGACTGATTGACACGATCTGCAAACAGGAGATGTGGATTAATAGAACATTCATAGTATTACGTGTTGATAAATTAAGACTGTTAACATGAAGAAAAGGTCAGATACCTGTCAACATGGACTGATAAGCGTTATCAGAGATGGAGAAGATGTGTGGTGGGGCTTCCATACGTTTCTTCCCTCTGTAACCAGCAACCACCTCAGGGTTGTACACTGGGAGCCACTTGTAGGGATTCACAGTGACGCAGAAAAGGCCACTGTAGGTCTAAACGGCCAACAAAACAAATATTAATTTATATATAAGAGGACTACTTTTAGCATCTTTTCACAATAAAGCATCCGTAAATATTTTACTGTCAAGCTGATAATTTATTTTAATATATTGTAAGGGGAACTGAGTAAATCTAGGAGGCCCATTTCTAACTCCAGGCATGGATTTTACTATACAAAAGAAATGACATATACATTAGCATTTTTAATTTAAATGTTGTAAAGTTGTATCATTGTGATATACCTATGTCACTCTTGTTTCATTATTTCCATTAAATAGTTTAAGTGGGGGGCACACTATCTACTTAAACTGTTTATATGGAGAAAGAGACCAAACTTACGTAGATCATCCATGCTGCGTAACGTTCTTTGAGGTTATACAACACAGAGGCTTCATTCAAATGGGTCATCATGGCCATATCTTCAATTTTGTCATACTTGGGGGGATTTTGAGGGTAAACTTGGCTGTCTTTAACAGTTACAGTCTAGAAGAAAGAGAGGCATATCTCAGTTAAGGTCTCAATTCACAGTAATTAACAGCTGGTATGATAAGTAATAGAATTTTATATTTACCCTTCCATCATCAGTTTTCACTGTGATTTTGCCATCTTCACGAGCTGTGACTAGACCTTTCACGTACAGCTCTTTTTGGTCATCTACGAAGCAGGTGTTCTTGGCATCGAATGGCCTATTCTGGGCTTCCAATCGTTCTTTGTCAGATTTACGGAGAAACTGGGCAGCCTCTCCGAAACAGGCCATCTCCCCGTCACCCATGATTGCTGGTGTCTACAAAATACACATATCTTAAATTAAACTCTACTTTACCCGGACGTACAAACAAATGTTAAAGTATTAAATTTTCCCTCCTCAGCAGTATTGATTTCCACACTTCCAAAGTTGAACCGTTTATTTAGCATAGATGCACTCCCTTTAAGAAAACCGGTGAAATCTTCCTAATTCTTACAAGAAATAATTCTTAAATCTTGGGCACACACACATAGGCATTTGAGCTAGGAGCCATGTGAAATAAATATAGCTATTTCCTGAAATACATTATTGCTACAAAGAAAAATTTATTACAGAGAAAGATGATTCAAATGTTGAAGGATCTAGGGTCTACTTTCAGCAAAGCCGTGACTTCCTGGCCCCAAAAAAAAAGTGAATTCACCACCAAGTTATGCATTAAGAGGAAAAAAAAATTCTCCCACCCACCTGTTAAGGCTTAAATGTTGCAAACTGTTTCACAAGTCCCTTTTAGTTAATAAATGGGCGAGTATTCACTCCCCTACACTGTTTGTTCTACTTTTGTTGTTTAACTTGATGATAGTGGGCTTAACACTAAATTCTAAACTAAAAGTCCCGTAAATTTAAAAGAAGATTGCAAAATTGAGACCTAATAATTTGATTTAGAAAAATTCTCAATTTTGGCTTGGCTATATAACCCCTAAAGTGTGGAATTTGTATTTCAGTTTGTAAAGTATACAGAGTATTTCAAATATTGTAATGTGACCCCTATGGTGTCAGAACATTTTGCAAAATTTCCGTATGAATTACCCTAGGTAGCTTTTTAAGATAAGAGAATATGAATCTCTAAAAAAAAAAAAACCCAAAAAACATGAGTTGATTTCCCTGAGTCCTAAACAGTGATGGATCGCCACCTAGAGGGCTTGTGGTAAAGCACTGTAGAGTGAAATAATTAATTTGTGTTTTAATTTATGGAGCCTAATTTTAACTTGAAAATTACAAATTAAGATTTCATTTTCAAAGAATACACCTTACTTTTTAATTTTAAATAATGTGCAGTTAATCCAGTTAAGTTTTTGCCTTTCTTGGTTATGTTAATATTTTAAGTTAAAACCGTTATTGTGAAAAAACAAACAAAAAAAACTTGTATAAAAAGTGGGTCCATAGGCTCATGGGGCTTATACACGAAACAGTTAAATGCAGCATAATGAGTTCCAGAACTTGGGTGCCAAAGCAGCATTGTTTTAATCAGTCTGAAGCCCCACTGAAATGAACTCCTCCCTCCCCCTGCCAGTTACATTATTTTTGCTAATTAGTTGACTCTGTGTTAACTGGATTATATTAAATTTCCTATTACTGATTATTGGTTGCTCCTTTAGCTGAGGGATTTAAAATAGAGTAATGTTTAATATTTACCTATATAATAAATATACTCCATAATAAAAAATATTATAGGGAGTGACACTCACATCATTTCATTGGGCATAAACTGAAATACAATATTAAAAGGACTTTACAAGTAAAATATATTAAATATAAACATTCTCTGTTCATACTATATCAAATGAAACCTTAACTATTAAGCAATGATTCCATATATTTGGACTGTAAGCTTGCTTGAGCAGAGTCCTCTTCAACCTATCGTTCCTGTAAGTTGTCTTGCAATTGTCCTATTTATAGTTAAATCTCCCCCTCTTATAATAATGTATAGCGCTACGAAATCTGTTGGCGCTATATAAATGGCGATAATAACAATAATGTTTCAAGGCACTAAATTATTTATATATGTATTTATATATTTATATAGCATAATTATCCTAATTTAGCCCCTTTTTTTACAATGCTAAGCTTTGTAGAACTTACGTTTTATTTCAGATTTTGACAGGGGGGGGGAATAAAACAGTTGGAACCTGGAATTGAAAAAAAAAAGAAAAGGATAATGATTACAATTTAAGACATGGAAGATATTTCAATAAATACCAATTAAGTGCACCCCCAATCCACCCTTCTCACAACCAAAGCCTATCCAGTTCTCCATCCCTTACTTTAAGGACTTTTATCCAAGCCGCCCCATGCTTCTAGAACTCCTAATCAAATTAATTCTCACTTTATATTTACATCTTTTCATCTTTAACCTCTCCCTTAAGAGGCATCTAACTATGAACGTAAAAGTCATCCCTCAACCCAACACTAAAGGCTCCACAATAAATACAATCTAGCTTTGACTTCTTCATTTTTATTAATGTATTGCTCCCTTTAGTCAATATATCAAGCTTTGCAGACGATTTCTAGTGATACATAAATTAATTACAATAAGTTATATGGTAAACTACACATGACTTAACTCAATGTCCATAAGATATTTATTTTGTCACTCTATGTCCAATGTATCTTTTAGAAGCTACAAATTCTCCCCCAAGCAACCCACAACTTTGCTTACCTACAAGGAAGACCTAACCAACTGGCAACTCTCATTAAAGCTTATATAGGACACTAACTGCCCTCTCAGCTCAATCTACTTAAAGGCATGGGCGTTTCCATTGCCTTAACTGTGCATGTAAGCCAAAAGCTATCCATTCGTCAGATGTAAAAATAACTCACAATTCAGTCTGGAAATAACCCAGGATAAAGCATGTTACTACAATTTGCAATCAATACCAAAGACTAGGGTTGTCTTTCACTCTGAGACACGGTCATATAACTCCAAATCGAAGAACTAAACTGTGGAAGTAACACTATGCCATGTTTAATAAACACATGTTAAGTGTTTATTAAATACAATTACCACCTATCATAAATCTGAACTACATCTACTCACTAAAACACAACTCAACCTAGCTATTCTATGAGACACAGATAAACAAATGTCAATGGTAATAAAATTTAGACAGAAATTTAACAAATAGAATTGGGCATTTGGAAGATCTTTGGACTAATGCATTAATGTTTTTTTCTCATGGGTTTTATAAACAGATCTTAGCAATACAGATATAATAAAAAAAAAATTAGGATGATTATGAAATTGTATAAATAATTTTTTTTTTTTAAACAAAAATTTTTTATTCAGTTGTTTGTTTTTGAAAAATTTAAACAGGGAAAAAAAAAGCCATAAATATATTAAACTATAAAAATAGCCCAGGGGTACCACAATAAATTAATATTAATATTCTCCTGTGCTATTTGCACTATACAGGCAAATGCATTTTCCATGCTTTTATTACTAATAATTTACTTTATTTATTTTAGAAATGCATTTGCGGTTTAGCTAGTGGTGAGTAATATTTTAATATTTCTAATATTTCTTTAATAATAGTTATATTTTTATAGTTGTATTATATTAATATTGTTACTTTTTTCCGTGTTATGACTAATTTTTTTGTCTTCTGTGCCGAATAGCTAGTATTTAATAATGATAATTATTTTCTCAGCAGCCTTCAGTTTTGTTTTAATTGTGTGTAGCTGCATTAAGAGCATGCCATATATTATTATTTACAGCCCAGAATTCTCAGAAAATTATATTTATGTGCAGTCCAGAATTTAAAAAAAAAACTATATATATTTATATACACACACACACACACACACGTGTGTGTGTACATATATATATATATATATATATATATATATACACACTATTTTCTTCCTTTTTTGTGTGTGTGAAAATTAACATTTATTCAAACCACCGACTATGGCAACAAACTAATCTGTGAAAAAATAAGAGATAACCTTTTCAAATTTAATAAAATATGGCATATTGTTCTATATAATTAATCTAGTTTAGAATGGAATTATTTATTTTTTGCTTCAAGTTTAGGGCTAGAAATTTTAAGACGAAAGCTCCTTTGCCAGTATATCAGAACAAAACCTATTAATATTATAGTACAACAAAGAACTATCTATTTACTGTGCACTTCCTTCTCGACAAAATTAAGTAGACACAGAAAGCAGAACGTAAAAAAAAAGATTCATTGCCGTATACGTTGCTGGGTGAGTGTCGGGGACAACTGGGATTTTTGTTTTGTAACACTCCCCCACTGGACTGGATATGAACCCTGAGTACAATTTACCAGAATGCAATGTTTCATAACTGATTAAAAGTTCATCAATAACTGTTGTATGAAAAGAAACATACCAAGACAAATTCAAGAATATTTTTTAACTTCTATATATTTTGTTTTTTTCTTTGATAAAAAAAGTTGAACTTAATTTGAAGGTTTACATTTCTTTAAAGGTTACGGTAACACCACCCTGCATTGTATTGTTCTAAAACCAATCCTCTGTGGAATTGATACACTTTAATGCTGGTTACACCACTTTATTTTATGTGTCTAGGAAATTGGTTGATAGATTTTAAATTTTTTTATTTTTTTTTAAATAGATGTTTAAAAATGTAGCGATCATCATGATGGGTCTGACTGCAAAGTCTTGTTGAAGACAGAATCTCTCCTCTGTTCAGTTCAGTAGAAACAGTGTGTTCTTTTTTTTTTCTTAATATTTTTGGACAATTATGTGTTTGTACAATTCTGCTATCACAAAGTAATCGTCCTGTGTTCATGCATCTTGTTCGCAGTTTTTGAACCAGACCAGACAAGCGCTTGAGATGAAGGTTGAGACACTGAATTCTGGTGGTGCTGGAGTGATGAGACCAGTTATGCAGACGCCTGTCGGTTCACAAGATAGTGAAGTTCTTTCTTATTTTAACAACGTTTTGTGTGTAAAACAGTCTCTATTTGCAGGTCACTGTATCTAAAGCAGCTCTGTCACTTATCCAATTTGTTCCGTAATAATGAAATCTGATGACCCCATACAGACTGCATTATGGGGAAACCTTATTTTTGAGAACATGTGGGAATTGGTGTTATTTCTTGCTAATCAACCCGTCTTGAACAGCAGGGATTTCTTAACGCTTAGATGGTCGCCCAGAAGTGACTACAATCAGTACTGAGCTTCCTATCTGGAAGGAGCACAGCAGCTTTGGGGTACATCACAGGTTTGGGGGTTACTGCCTAGAATGTTCTTTGTGGATTTTCTGACATTTGAGAGCTCAGAGGCTGACAGGTAAAATGTCTGCCCTGAATTGCATACCTGACCCCAGAGGGGATGAAAAGCAGCAATTGGGAAACTTTCTGAGCTGAATTTGAACATTATTCCCTGGCTATAGGGTCGAAGGAGAAATCTGCAGCAGGGCAGGCAGACACTCTGAGAAGCGACATGGGCAGTGAATGTTACTATGTTTCTAAACACAATCTGAATCTCACAGCAGAGCATAAGGAGAATGTAGCTCACGGGGCAAGACGACCAGAATGAGCGTTAACAGGGGGCTGATTAGGGCTAAGCCGTTTAGATGTTAGTCTATGCGTAAAGGGAGGAGTCATTGGGCAGTGGTAGTGGTCAGTTTGGAGGGGTCAGTGGCCATTTTAGCTTTAGATAATTAACTGTGTTGTATTTTTAATTTACTACATAAGTTTAGCCCGATCGTCAAAGGTACAGCTGTCGTTTAGCAAATGTTTGTAGACACATTGGAATTTTACTTCAAATCTGCTAAAAATGTCATATGTGAAAGGTATGTGTTTGGATGCTGGAAACGGGAAGAGGGAGAATCTCTTGATAAATTTGTTACACGCTTGAGCGAAAAAGCTGCAAAATGTGAATATGGTTCTCTGAGGGATGAACTAATAAGGGACCATATTGTTCCTGGTGTAGCTAGTAAGAGCTCACGCAGGCATCTCTTAAGATAACATGAATTAACTTTAAACACAGCCATTGAAATGTGCCGTACAGCAGAGCACACTGACAGATGTATGGAAGTTATGGAACAGGACAGACAGCAGACCGACAGCATCAACATTGCAGTGCAGTGACAACACATTAGCAAACAGCAACAACACTGCCAGATTAGCACAAATCCTGCAGACCATACAGCGTGCAAAGATTGTGGGACTGTGCATCAAAGAATTAAAGAGCAGCGTCCTGCTTATGGGAAGTCTTGTGGGGGGACAAATCATTTTGCTAACGTATGTTTGTCAAGTAAAAGACAGCCATCAATTGGAACGTTACACTCCCTGGGGAACACATCTGCATACGAGGAAGAGCCCCACACTGCTGAAGTGATATACAGCAGTGACTTGATCTGCTCTGTGCGGCCAGAGGAAAGAAATGGTTTGTCACTTTAACTTTAAAGGGAAACTATAGGCTAGGAATTCAAAATTGAATTCCTAGCACTATAGCTCTCTATAGTGTCCCCTCGCTTGCGCTACTCCGACTGCAGCGCAGGCCCCTTCTATCACTTACTTGAATCCAATGTCTCTCGGCGCTGGGTCAGGCTCTGCCTTGGCTCCTCCTTCCCCAACGCTGGCCGACGTCAGGGACCTAACGGGCATGCACGGCGAGCGCCGCAAGCAGATTTAAACAGCCCCATGGGAAAGCAATGTATAAGCTAGACCTTGGGGTTTATTTGCCACTGCAGGACTGGATGATCTGTGGCATATTCACCAGAAATGAATTTCTCCTTGTTAGGGCTAAATATTCACTCGCTAGGGACGAGTGGAAATTTTTTGCCTTCACAGTGATATTATTACTGTATGAGTCCTCTTTCACTATTTATAATCTGTATTAACTCACAGGATCCTACATTTATTTGTTTTCGCAGGACCTCTGTGAGTACAACCTTGTGAGTTCTGTTCGGCCTGTCACACTGGAATGTTAGACTATATGTTTTGGTTCTACTGCTCACATCTCTGCAGATGAGACAAGAGGGTCACTAATGGACCCTGAAAATGCTTCTGCCGTCTTTGGTAAGTCCTATATCATTTACTGATAAGTAGTTCATCATATGTGTGCACAGGATCTGATATTATTTAACCCCTTCCTGACGTGGACGTACCAGGTAAATAGGAGCCCTGGACCGGTGATGTGTGGCGGTCGGGGTCGGGGGAGGGGGGGGGTTGGGGACTGAAATCTTCTTCCTGCGACCTCTTGGTTTCTGCAGGGAATAAGTTTATTGGCATTTTTTTCTCTTGCTACCCCTAGGGTCACAGCAAGTAAACCCCCAGTCAGTAAGGGGGTACCTTCGGGGGGACACTTTTGCGCAGGGCTGTGTACTGAAGCTTCCCAAGGAAGACAGGCTGAACTCCCTTGGGGACAGAAGGTAAAGACCCTCAGGTAAGCCAAAAAGCAAATTCCTCTAGTCCTGAAATAGACTAAGTTTGTCTTATAGGGATAGGACAGGAACACAAACACTGAGGTAGGAGGGGGTATTTGTACATTTCTTTTTAATAGTTCCTGTCTAATTAGGGATAGGGATGAGCAACTCATTGTTGGCTGCCATGGATATGGCCTATATATATATATATACACACACTCACTCACTCTTATTTATATATATAAATAAAACACACACATTCTACATTTGTATTTAACTATTAACTACATAATTATTTGATTTTATTAATTAAAGTTTGAGAGACCTGCCAGACAGTTTAATTGGCAAGCCCCATATTTAACCCCGTAACTTTCAAAAACACCATAAAACCTTTACATGGAGGGTATTGTTATACTTGGGAGACTTCACTGAACACAAATATGAGTGTTTGTTTTAAAAAGTAAAACTTACTACAATGATTATATCACCAGTAAAAGTGCAGTGTTTTGTTTAAAAAACAAAAAACAAAACGCTAAATTTGCTCAGCGTTTGTGACTAAGTGCCTACTACAAAAGACTGGAAATGCCCCATTTTGAATACCCTGGGTTGTCTACATTTGACAATGGTATGCCATGATGAGGTTAATTCACATTCCTGAGCTACCATATGGTCTTAAAAGGCTACATAGACCCAGCAAACCAATCTGGCAAACTGAATTGGGCAAGCCGTATATTGACCCTGTAACTTTTCAAAACACCATAAAACCTGTGCATGGGGGTATTGTTATACTCGGGAGACTTTGCTGAACACAAATATGAGTGTTTTAAAAAGTAAAACTTATCATGACAATGATATGACCAGTAAAACTGCAGTTTTTGTTTTAAAAAATGCAAAAAACAAATAAAAAATGCTAACTGTGGCCACCGTTTGTGACTAAGTGGCTACTACAAAAGAATACCCTGGGTTGTCAACATTTGAAAATGGTATGCCACGGTGGGGTTAATTTTCATTTCTGGGCTGCCATACTGTCTCAAAGGGAACATAGCCAATCTGGCAAATAGCAATTTGCAAAACTTGAAATTGGCAAGTCTTATGTTTGACCCGGTAACTTTCCAAATCAAAATAAAACCTGTACTTGAGGGGTACTGTTGTACTCGGGAGACTTCGCTGAACACAAATATGAGTGTTTTAGAGCAGTAAAATGTATTATACTGATAATACCATCGGTGAAATGGGAGCTTATGTGTGAAAAACAAAATACCTAAATGCTAATTTTGGCCATGGTTTGTAACTAAGTGGCTACTAAAATGACTGGACATACCACATTTTGAATACCATGGGTTGTCTACTTTTACAAATGGTATGCCATGATGGAGTTAATTTCGATTCCTGGGCTGCCATACGGTCTCAAAGGCAACATAGTCCCTGCAAACTAATCTGGCAAATTTCAATGTGCAAACATGGAAAAGAGGAAAGCCCTACGTTTGACCCCTGTACGTTTGCAAAAACCCATAAAACCTGTATATTGGGGGCATTGTTGTACTCAGGAGATGTTGCTGAACACATATTGGAGTGTTCTTTGTCAGTAACACATAACAGGAGCTGAGAATCCATGCCTAAAGTACAATGTGAGAGAAAAATAACTCAAAAAATGACTACCCAAAAGTTTGACAAAGACTGGTGGTAGAATTAGTGCATCGAAAGTGTTAAAATTCCACAATTTGAAATACCCTAGGGTGTCTACTTTTCAAAAATATATGGTTTCATAGGGGTAAATTACATTGGCCGGCTTACAAAATGTCCCAAATAGGACATGGGTGCACGATGACCAGCTGTGAAAATTCCAAGTTGGAAAACTGGAATGCGCACCCTGAAATAAGGTATTTTAGCCCCCAGAGAACCGGACATACCTATACATGGGTGGTATCACGGTACTCAGGAGATGTCACTGAACACATATTGGGGTGTTCTTTGGCAGTAACCCTTAAAGTTCTCAGTACACGTATTCTTAAATTGCTATGTGTATCAAAAACATCACCAATTATTATTATTTTTTTTAAATTTGGCATAGATTGGTGGTAAAATGGTTTTATGAAAAGAATTAAAATATCCCAAGTTTTATATCATAGGTTGTCTTCATTAAAAAAATATATACATGTGAAGGGTTATTCAGGGATTCCTGACAGATATCAGTGTTACAATGCAACCATCGTTAATTTTGGAAGAAAATGGTTTGGAAATAGCAAAGTGCTATTTGTACTTATAGCCCTATAACTTTCCAAAAACGGCTAAGAACATGTTAACGTTGGGTATTTGTAAAATCAGGACAAAATTTAGAAACTATTTAGCACAGGTGTTTTTGGCGGTTGTAGATGCGTAACAGATTTTGGGGGTCAAAGTTAGTAAAGGTGTTTTTTTTGTTTTTTTTTTAATCATATTTTATAATTTTTTTCATAGTAAATTATATGATATGAAAATAATGGTATCTTTAGAAAGACCATTTAATGGCGAGAAAAACCGTATATAATATGTGTGAGTACAGTAAATGAGTAAGAGGAAAATTACAGCTAAATACAAACACAGCAGAAATGTAAAAACAGCCCTGGTCCTTAACGGTAAGGAAATTGAAAAACGGTCTGGTCACTAAGGGGTTAAAGGAAAGTGACATTTTACCAGTAGTACCTGTTTTAATTTTTGTCGTATTGTTTTGGAATTTACTAATTTATCCTGCTAGCTATATAGTGTTCTAGCTTTTATTATATTTATTATTGGTATTTATATAGCGCCAATACATTTACAATACTAAATTATTGCAATGTTATTGTATAGTTCCGTTTTCCTGTAGCAACAAGTCAGTATCTTGGACCCTGAGAAAAGTTTTAATTCAAGCAGACCTCATTTTTTCGAGGGACATTATGTTCCAGCCTCTGAAACTGTAGAATTAACAGTTTCACTGCTGCTGTAGGCAGGGCCGGCGCGCCCAAGCGTCCGATTTGGGGAGCCAGAGTAGGGGGCGCAAAAATCTGAATCCCTTGCTTCTGGCTAGGGACTTGAACTTTTCCAATCACTGCAGGCTACCTCACTCTCTAATCCCTGAAGACCCAGCAAACAGCCAGTCTGGGTACCTCCTTCATTGACCGGGAGTCTGAACCAACTCTGAAAGCGGACTAGTGCTTACGTGAGGCCAAGCTGGGGCTAGGCCTAATTTATATTAAAGACTAGTATAAGCACCTGAGTTTCTGTTTTTCCACTTGCTCTCAGTTGCTTACATTAGGCTTCCTTCTAACAAGTAGACCACATTTAGGAGGTTGGTGGTGAGCATTTTTATGGATGACTGATTTGAAGTACACACTTGTATTTTATGTGTTTAAAAGCTTGACTCTAAGTCCACAGACACGTTCTATCAATGCATGTGGCATTGATTACTGTTACCTGTGTATTTTAGCTTATTTAAATCGGCATATAAAACCTAGGTAGCCTCTCTGTATGATTTGGCGTGAAGACACAGCCTCGGTATATGTTACTGATATTATCTCTGTATATGAGCTGGTGTGAAGTACAGCATTAATGGGTGTCCATTATATGCTCTATGTATGAGGACACAACCTCAGTATGTGTGTCCACTATATGCTCCAAGTATGAGTTGGTGTGAAGCACAGCTTCAGTATATGTGTCCACTATATGCACCATGAGTTACTGTAAGGACACAGCCTCTTAATACACTTGTGTTCAAAGGTTTGCGTACCCTGGCAGAAATTGTGAAATGTTGGAATTTATTTTGAAAATGGACTAATCATGCAAAAAAAAGGTATTTTATTAAAGGATAGTGATCATATGAAGCCATTTATTATCACATAGTTGTTTGGCTCCTTTTTAAATCATAATCATAAAAGAAATCACCTGTTCCAAAAGTAACCTTGCCACTGGTATTTGGAAGGGCCTGTTTGCCAGCCTCCTACCCTATGACTATGGCCCCTGTATTAAATCCTGATTAAAACCACTGTGTGTGCCTTTTTGGACTTGCATGACAACACTTTTCGAACTTTCGAAGCGGCACTTCGAATTACCTAACAACCACATGAACCAGAGACCACCCTGGAGCTTGTTAACATCTATTAACAACTTGGAACGTTTCTCACCGCAGTGTTCTAATTGTTCGTCTGGGTGGCCGTAATTCCTATGGACAACCACGAGGTGGCGGCCATCTTGTTCGCATGAACGCAGGCAGCGGAGTTTGGGCAAGAATCTCATGGAACTAAAATCAGATACAGAAGCTCCCAAACACCGCTGGACTTCCATCATCGCTTGCGTTCGATTCTATTCAACTTAGAAAGGAACTGTTTGGTGAGATGAGGGGAACAAGCTCCAAGGTAAGACTATTGACTCTGTTCGTTAGTTTGTTCATTTTCAAACTACCGAACTAGACCGTCCGCAAGCCCTGATTCTCTGGAACTGTTTTGGGCATGGGACCATGCCTGCGGTCGGTCGAATTAGTGACTTCCATAGAATACCTGAACCCCTGAACTAATCTGGGTGATTTTTGGATATGTTGGTCACCCAGATCAGAGCTATCAGGGGATGTAACATTTGTGGGGATATTATGTGTTTCGGGGTACTTTTGGGACTTTATAGAAATGTGTGTTTTTTCTGCCTTGAGATAATTGGGTTAATACAGTATCTGACTTAATTATCTCCCAAACACAGGGGAGGGATTGTATGCTATGTTTGGGAGTGTCATGCATTTGAATACTGTTCTTATTGGTCTGTAACTTTTGTAACTCAGTCCCCCACAAGGTCCGTGTGGGTGTACCCCTCGCGTGGGCATTGTCATATAAGGCCAAGTGTGTCACCATTAACCTATTAAGGACCAAACTTCTGGAATAAAAGGGAATCCTGACATGTCACACATGTCATGTGTCCTTAAGGGGTTAAAATCAGTTCCTCTTCACCCTTAACAAAGATCCTTGTCTCATGTGTGGAGAGGACAACTATATTCACTCTGGGGATTGCCATACTCATTATACTACCCTGGGTTCTAATCACTAACTCTTATAAGAGCTGTTCCTGTTATACTCTCTGGAGTAGGAGAGGTTCACCCACTGGAAGCTGGATCCTGGTCTTGAGTCCAGGGGGGTGGAGGACAGCGAGACCCTAACCAAGCTGTGGCGGTTTGTGGGGTCGACGGTGCTAATGGTGTCTTGTGGAGTGCTTGGAGTCCTCGGTGAGCACTAGGAGCATCGATTGGCGGAGTTACCCAGTCGGGGTGCCAGGAGGTCCGTCACATCACCCAACTATCCATGATCAAAAGTGACCCTAAGCACAAGGCCAAGTTGACCCTCCAGTGGTTCCAGCAGAAAAAGGCAAAGGTTCTGTAGTGGCCATCACAGTTTCCTGACCTTAATATCATCGAGCCACTCTGGGGACATCTCAGACATGTGATTCATGCATGACCTGGAGGCATTTTGCCAAGACGAATGGGCAGCTATACCACCTGCAAGAATTATGGGCCTCGTAGACAACTATTTCAAAAGACTGCATGCTGTCATTGATGCTAAAGGGGACATATTAAGAACAAAGGCTATGCAGACTTTTGAACAGGGGTAGTTTCAGTTTTTTCTTAGTTGTCAAGTTTTGTTTTATGATTGTGCCATTCTGTTATAACCTACAGTTGAATATAAATTCCATAAGAAATAAAAGACATGTGTTCTGCCTGCTCACTCATGTTCTCTTTAAATATGGTACATATATTACCAATTCTCCAAGGGTATGCAATATTTTGAGCACGACTGTGTGTCCACTATATGCTTTATGTATGAGTTACTATGAGGACACTGGCTCAGTATATGTGTCCACTAAATGCTCTAAGTATGAGTTGGTCTGAAAACACAGACTCCGTATATGTGTCCTCTACATGCGCTAGGTATAAATTGGTGTGAAGACACCACTTCAGTATATGTGTCCACCATATGCTCTATGTATTAGTGTGAAAACACAGACACAACCTCAATGAGTCCATTTAATCTTTGTGTATTAATGTGGTGTGGACATTTTAAGTATATACAGCATGTTTAACACAAGCTCTGTGTATGGGTTGCTGTTGGTGATATACCCCATATATGAAGTACTGTAAAAACTCAGCCTCAATATATCGGACTCATATAATATTAGTATATAAACTGTGGTTTCTCTACGCCAGTTTTCTAAATTATTATTATTAATATTGCCATTTATATAGCGCCAACAGATTCCAAAGCGCTTTACAATATTAAGAGAGGAGGGATTTAACTATAAATAGGACAATTACAAGAAAACTTACAGGAACAATAGGTTGAAGAAGACCCTGCTCAAACGAGCTTACAGTCTATAGTAGGCGGGGTATAAAACACATTAGGACAGGAAATAGCAATCAAATAAGGTGGGAGTGAAGCAGAGCTGTAGGAGAGAGTAGAGTGCTGCCCTTTAGGAGAGAGTAAGAGACAGGTATACAAGGTAGAGGTTACTCTGGGAGGCCATAAGCTTTCCTAAAGAGATGGGTTTTAAGGTACTTCTTAAACGATGCAAGACTAGGGGAGAGTCTGATGGGGGTAGGCAGGCTATTCCATAGGAAAGGAGCTGCCTTCGAGAAGTCCTGCAAGCGTGAGTTGGCTGTACAGGTGCAAGCAATGGACAGGAGAAAGTCACGGGCAGAGCGGAGAGACCGAGAAGGGGCATATCTATGGATCTGTGACGAGATATAAGAGGGGCTGGAATTACAAGCTCCTTGGTAACATCTTGCGTAAGAAAGGGGCGGATGTGGGCTATGTTTTTAAGATGGAATCTACAGGATTTGGTGAGACTCAAAGGTGAGGCCAGAATCAAGTATGACCCCAATACAGCATGCTTGCAAGGATGGACTTATGTGGATACCACTAACTTGAAGGTAGAGCGAAAGAGGAGGATCAGTATAAGGAGGAGGAAAGACGAGGAGCTAAATTTTATAGAGATTGAGTTTCAGAAAGCGGGAGGACATTGTCAGGATTGCTAGTTGATCCAGCACGTAGAATTGTGTCACACAGATGACTAATAGATGTGAATCAATATTAGCTGCTTGAGGTCAATAGAATTAAGGGGCCTCCTGAGTTGAGGGGGGGGGGTTAAGCTGTTAGGCTGTTGAGTAAGGGGGTACTTGAGAACAAACGTTAAGAGGTGGTGATCAAAGAGAGGAAATGGAGTGTTGCAGATACTAGATACTGTACATGCATAAGAGAAAATGAGGTTGAGGGTATTGCCAGCTAAATCGGTGGGAGAATTAGCCCACTGCAATAGGGAGGAAGGGAGGGAGGAAGTAATTGAAAGTAGTTTAGAGGCTGCTGTGGTCAAAAGTGGGTTAATGGAAATAATGAAGTCTCCGAGAATTAGGGATGGAATATTAGAAGAGAGGAAGTAGGGTAGCCAGGCAGCAAAGTGATCAAGGAAGAGGAGAGGGGAACCAGGGGGCAATGTTAGCAGAGAAAGGTTTGAAAAGGTGAATCGACTGATAGGAAAGAGAGGATAGGAGAAACTTGTTGCCTTTTGTTTTTGCATTAGATATCTCCTCTCACACATGTGTTTCAGGATAAACAATTAACCACTTTAAAGGGACTGCAAGTGTTACCACCCACTGAAGAGGAGTTCTGATTTCCAAAATAGAGGCTGGTAATATTTAATAGCAGTTAATAATATACATGAGACAAGTTGCTACGAGAGTATTTATATGGCCCAGTTCCATCTCCTCGTTGATGAGGTCAATTGAATGTTTTTACGTTTGATAGAAGTTTGTTATTGCTGATTGCAGGTGCACAGATTGGGCTTTTTATTGGCTCCCATGAGCAATTAACTCTGAAGCAATTACCCTTCTGTTTTCATTGGTATGCTTTACTTGTCAAATGAAATTTGACTTTGATTTTGATTTTAAAAGTTGTGAATACAAGCTGTTTTTTTCACCAGGTCCCAATGTTGTAATCACTGCAGGATTCTTTTCTGCAAAATTAATTTCTCGTCTAGTTTAAAAAAAAATGTTTTACATTTTTTTCGGTGTACTGGAGTTGGTTTAGAATTACTTTAGAACGGAGTAAATTTTCCTAAAGCATAACCTGTGTATTTGTGTCAATGTTATTTGTTACATTCAGTATTCTGCTATATAATCCCTTGTGGACCTTGGATTAGGCAACCCCTTTAATGTTTGTCAGGGATGGCATGCTCTTGGCTCTTAAGGATCAGAACTTTCCTCAGATTCCCTGTTGTAGGTTTGTCAGAAGGAACATTGAAGGCAAAGGGGAAAGAGATGGATGGAAAGGGGGAGGTTGGTAAGAGGGAGTGATGTTGATGGATAGGGAGAGGTTGGCAAGGGGGAGAGATATGAGTGGAAAGGAGGAGGTTAGCAAAGGGCAGATATATGGATGGAAGGGGGAGGTTGGCAAGTGGAAGATATATGAATGGAAAGGGGAGGTTGCCAAGGGGTAGTGATATGGATGGAATGGGGAGGGTGGCAATGGGCAGAGATATGGATGGAAGGGGGGAGGTTGGCAAGTGGAAGATATATGAATGGAAGGGGGGAGGTTGGCAAGGGGGAGAGATATGGATGGAAGAAAGACACAGGAAGGTTGACATGGGGAGAGTTATGGATGGAAGAGAAACACTGGGAGAATTAAGGATGGAAGGGGAGAGGGAGACATAGCTGGAAGAGAGACACAGGGGAGGTTGACATGGAAGGAAGAGGGAGGTTGACATGGATGGAAGGGGGAGGGAGAAATGAATGGAACTGAGATATGGGGGAAGATATGGATGGAAGGGAGACATGGGGGAGAGACATATATTTAAGGTGGGAGGGAGATATTGATAAAAAAGGGAGACATGGGGGGAGAGACATGTGGAGAGAGATTTGGATAGAAGATGAGAAACATGTATGGATGTAAGGAACAGAGACATGGACAGAAGGTGGGAAGAATATACATGAATGGGAGGGAGACATGGGGGAGAGACATGCATGGAAAGGCAGAAGAAGACACATGGATGGAAGGGAAGGGAAGAAGAGACATGGATGGAAGGGAAGTGAAAAAGAGACATGGTTGGAAGGTGGTAGAAGAGACATGGATGGAAGTGGGGTAGAAGTAAGCGGAGAGTGCAGTCACACCTTACCCTGCCTGGATATTGCAGAGGGACTAGGGACTAGGGTGCGAGCGGAATTGAGCGGATAATTCAACTACACCTCAGGTAACGAAGTAAAGCTTTTGAGTAGATGAAATGTATATACCCAGGATTAAATATTGTGTGAGAATAAAACCAGTAATTTTAGTTTGTGTTGCTCTAGAATTCACCAACTTATATACAGGTCACAGATGACCAGTTACATGATGCTATCTACTTATCAGTGGGTATTACTATCATTCAAAGACAAACACAGTCCAACCATACACAGCCAGCCCAAAATCATCACACATAAGCAGTCCCCATCACACATTGACAGTACATAATTATCACACACATTCTCATCATACAGAGTGAGCCCAGTGCTCCACAGTTTCCATCACATATACACAGCTCAATAACATCACATACAATCAATTCCTATCACACACAGACAACACAACACAATACATCACATGCAGTCCCCATTACAGTCAGACAGCCAAATATATCACACACAAGCAGTAGCCATTACACTCAGACAGCCCAATACGCAGTCCCCATTACACCCCAATACATCACATGCAGTCCCCACTATACTCAGACAGCCTGAGTTCATCTGCCTCAACCAAGGTATTTGATAGCTAGAAAAAAAAAAAAGTTAGGTGACGCCAGTAAAGACTCCTGTTTGTAATGTGCAGGGCCCGACTTCCCGCGGTGGGATGCGGCCTTTAAAAATTTGCCAATGTTGTGAAATGCAGCCGCAAGAGTGTGAGAGAGTACTCTCTCGACCAATGTGACATCGCCTTTGTTGCTGCTGGAATGGTGCATGGTGCATGCAGGAGGCTGTTTGAAGTCCTTGTGCAAGTCCTGTGGGTGCAATATAAGTGCTGGGTTGGGTGCTTGGGGCAAGCTTTGTAAGTGCAATCTCAGTGCTGGGTTAAGTCATGGGAGCTAAGGCAAGTGCTGTGAGTTTAATTTCTCTGCTGGGGTAAGTCCTGTGGGTGCAATCTCAGTGTTGTGTAAGTCCCAGGTACTAGGGCAAGACCCATGAGTGCAATCTCAGTGCTGCGGTAAGTCATGGGTGCTAGGGCAAGTCATGTGAGCGTAATCTCCTTGCTGGGGTAAATGCTGGACTCCAGTCAGGTGAGTGCAATCTGGTGATGTGCCTGTATTATGCTTGCAATATGGAGACAATTATTCCTCATCACCATCATCACACAAGTATTAATATGTTTGTGTAAATATATATTTCTGATTTGAGGCTGATAGCTGCTTTATTGGGAAAGCATTGAATATGGAACTTTGCTATTTCATGTGTAGTAGCAAATGGGAGGGTTTGTAAGAGTTCCCCGGAGGACTTTCGGTGACTGGCAGGACTCTGTTCCTAAGAAACCTCAGGAACTTTTAATTCCTTTTTATTATTTTTTTTTATGGGACAGGGAGGATTAGTAAACAAAATATAATGCTATAACGCTACGTTTCTTTAGTTTCCCTTTACATGGTAAAGAACTTACGAAGGACTCATTCTATGTGAAACAGCACCTTTAAAAAATGTAAAATGAGTCCCATCAAGGCTCATATTTCTTCTGAATGTGATAAAGCAAGTTTAGCCTAAATCTCATTTGAGTAGGATAATAACTGTATTTATATAACATGTTCTCATTTATGCAGTGGCGTACTAAAGGGGAGTGGGGGGAGGCGGTCTGCCCCCATGCCACAAGGTAGAGGGGTGCCACCAGAGCAGGCCTTAGGGAGGTGTGAGCTGTGTGGCTGCACAGGGTGCCATGGCAGTAGGGGCACCGGGCAGCCGACACAGCTCACACGCAGGGGCCGACAGGAGAACTTCATGGTTACTTGGGGGCGGGACCAAATTGGATGTGGGGCAGAGCTAAAGGCAGCCTCCATTTTCTGCTATTACTGCTGCAAACTGAGGGGAAGCAGTAAGCATTTCCTGCTTTCCCAACTACAACACACTAGGGACTTCAGCCCATACTATTAGTAAGTGAGAGAGTGTGTGAGTTGTGTGTGTAACTGTGATTGTGTCCGTCTGTCTGCCTGTGACTGTGTGTGTGACTGCATCTGTGACTGTGTGTGAGACTGCCTGTCGCTGTGTGTGTAACTGTCTGTGACTGCATCTGTGACTGTGTGTGTGACTGCATCTGTGACTGTGTGGGACTGTCTGCCTGTGACTGCATCTGTGACAGTCTGTCTGTGACTGTGTGACTGCCTGTGTGTGACTGTCTGCCTGTGCCTTTGTGTGTTGCTGTCTGCCTTTGACTGTGTGTGTGACTGTCTGCCTGGGACTGTGTGATGCTGCCTGTTACTGTGTTACAGTCTGCCTGTAATTGTGCGTGTGTGCCTGTAACGGTGTGTGTATGTGTGAGACTATCTGCCAGTAGTCGTGCGTGTGACTGTCTGCCTGCAACTGTTTCTGTGTGACTGTCTGCCTCAGGGGCGTACCTAGAGCATTTGGCACCCGGGGCGGATCCTGTGCTTGGCACCCCCAAAAAACATGTAAAAAAATTTAAAGGTTCGCTTTTTTTTTTTTACAATTTGTAAACTTTGCAAAACTGCTGTCAGCCCCTCCTACAAAACCCTTGTCCTGTCCCGCCCCTCCTACAAAACCTCTGTCCTGCCCCTTCTACAAATCCTATACTGCCTCGTCTACAAAACCCCCGCAACCCCACACACACTTTTACAGGCAGACAGTCACACACTCAGTTACAGGCAGACAGTCACATACAGTCACAGGCAGACAGTCACACATACACATTTCCTCCATGCGGCCAGTTTATCAGCTGTTTGCTTGTGTGAGCTGTACTGGCTGCACGGCACCCTAACTACCATGGGACACTGTGCGGCCACAGCTCACACAGCCCCCTCCAGCCAGGGCCGGTGCAAGGATTTTTGCCGCCCTAGGCAAAAGTAAAGTTTGCCGCCCCCCCCCATGTGACATCACAATGCCCCACCCATATGATTTGCCATGTTAACTAACGCCAGTGCTGCAGTGCCGCTGTGTTTACATTAAAAGGCCTGCAGGGACAGGCTATAGACACCAGAGCCACTACATTAAGCTGAAGTGGTTCTGGGGACTATAGTGTTTCTTTAATGTGAGGTAAATTAGAGCTTAGTGCCACAAATAATATACTAGATTGCCTACTTACAACCAGATGAGGATGATGATGGGCTCTAGCTGCAGTCTGGCTCCACTGGTCTGGTGCAGAACAGGCTCTCTGGAGGCGGTTTGTAACTGTGGTCACAAAAATCAATGTTCTGGGAGAACGGGAAGCAGCTCCATTTTTTGGGGGTCCTTTACACAGCTCAAGGTCTGGGTCCCAGGGTCCACCTTCATGTTCCACCAATGAGTTTGTTCACAGGGGGTGGAGTGTGTAGGGGATGTCCTGATATGTGTGTAAGGAATGCATTGTGTGAAATTGTGTTTGTATGTGTAAGGGCTGCAAGGTGTGTTTCTGTGTATGTATGGGATGCATTGAATGTGTGTAAGGGGTGCATTGAGTGTGTGTAATGAATGCATTGTGTGTTTCTGTGTGTGTAAGGGATGCATTGTGTGTAACGGTTGCATTGCTTGTGTATGTGTGTCTGTGTGTGTAATGCATTGTGTGTTTTTCTGTGTGCAAGGGGTGCATTGTGTGTATGTGATGAATGTCAATCTCTCCTCCCGCTCCAATTTCCTTCTCCTCCTCCCAATTTCTCTTTCTCACCCCTCCTCTCTCCCCCCTAATTTCTCTTCCTCCTTCAATTTCTCCCCCCAATTTCTCTTTCCCCCCTCCTAATATCTCTCCCTCCCTCCTAATTTCTCTTCCCCCCTCCTTTCTCATCTGACTGTCTTTGCCCTGCAGTGAGCCGGCAGCCGGGATATGATGTCATCCCAGCATTGGCATCACAGGGCATGTGAGGGACCTGTGCAGGAAGAGCACAGAGATCCCAGCAGCAACAATTGACCACCAGGGACTGATGATCCATTCCAGCCATCCCAGAGCAAGGTGTGTGTGTGTGTGTATGTGATGTCTGTGTGTGTGTGTCTGTGATTGTGTTGTGTATGTATGTGATTATGTGTGTATCTCTGTGGTTAAGTATGTGTGTTGTGATTTTGTGCGTTTATGTATGTGATTGTGTGTGTGGATTTGTGATTGTGTGTGTGTGTCTGTGGTTATGTGGGTGTATGTCTCCGATTGTGTATTATATATATATATAGACACACACACAGACATACATCTATTGTGTTATTGTGTGTGTGTGTATATATATATATATAAATGTTTATGTATTTAGTAGATAGCTCCCTTAATTGGTGTCCTTAAATCTTGCAATCCCACATAAGGATAACAAATAAGGGATTTATCTATTGAACAACTGAAAGATTAAAATTAAGAAAAGGGCTTTTAAAATTTTGATCTTTTAGCTGTTTAGTAGATACTTTCCTAAATTGGTGTCCTTATGCGAGATTTCCATATTTAAAGATACCAAATTAGGGTGCTGTTTAGGAGATAGCTCCCTTATTTGATGTCCTTAAATATGGCAATCCCACATAAGGACAGCAAATAGGGGAGTTATCTCATAAAAATGATCGAAGTTAAGAGGTGTCTGCCAGCCCACAACAGGAAATCTGGGTGGCTAATGTGAATTCTATGCAAATTCGTTGTTTGCATCAGACAGAAAATGGCAGCACATTACCCCATCGCCTAGTGAAAAGTTTTAGTGCAACCCCAGTTTTGACTGTGTTGTATCTTATGCCGCACCAGGAGGTGGGAGGGTCTGGGAGGGAGGGTCTGCTGCTGATTGGCTGGAATGTGTCTGCTGACTGTGAGGTACAGGGTCAAAGTTTACTCAATGATGAGTCCGTGGCGAACCGTTCGGGACATCACTAGTTAACACAGTAAAGGAGTTTAAGCATGCGTGGGATAGGCATAAGGCTATCCTAACTATAAGATAAGGCCAGGGACTAATGAAAGTATTTAGAAACTTGGGCAGAATAGATGGGCTGACTGGTTCTTATCTGGGTCACATTCTGTGTTTCTTTCTTTCTATAAGCTGTATTGATTTTTCTGACTACGTCCCTAGTTTATCGATATTAATGTAAAGTAAAATTCTAAGTGAATTTTATTTTTAAGGCTTTATAGCTGAAATGAAAACGTGAAAAGTTTAAATAGAAGATAGCAGGTTGCGGAACTTGGACTGCAAGCCGGCAAGACGTGTATCGCATGAGCTCCTGCTGCTAACGCTGCTTACCCGGTGATAATTCGAGCTACAGAATCGGACGCCTATACCCAAGGTGACTCTCATGCTGGGGGTATCTTGGTCTACCTGTGGAACCTTAATCAACGCCCAGAGGAACCGAGAACTGAGGCGGCAGGTTGCGGCCTACTGGAGATGGAGTGGAGGAGAGACGGCTGCTTTCTTCCCTCTAAATCCAACCACACTAGACATAATTGACCTACCTCTCTCCCCTCACCCCCTCCTCTGGACAGGTCCCCTCTGGAGAGCAGTCGGCTACACCAGCGCTGCCTTTCACATCAACAATACGCTGATTTCAAATATGTAACTTTTATTAATATTGCATGCATACTTTTAAAGTTATAAGAATTGTGTAAAAACTGTATATTTTCTGCCTGTGCTAATTCAGTTAGTCTATTGTCTTGAGATAATTGTATCACAGGCAGAGGGGAGGATTTCTGCTTGGAGCGGTTTACTTTATTGTATGTGTTATAATGTTTTTATTGGTTGTTCTGAAAAACCCTGTGGGCGGTCCTGTATGTGTTAAACCTGCATGAAAGAAGGCCCTTTGGTGCCAAGTAAAACAGAGTTCTTCTTCACCCTCAATCTAGAGTCCTGTCTCTTATTGGGGGAATTGCTATATCACTACAAGGGATTGCTATGCTCTGCATACTCCCTTAGCTAATCACTACTAAGCTCTTTTAAGAGCTTGTTCCTGCTTCACTCTCTTGGAGGAGTGGTGCACCCACTGGAACCTGGAGCCTTGTCATAGGTCCAGTGTGGGTAGGAGACGGCGAGACGAAAGCCAAGCTGCGGCGGTTCGTGGGGTCTGCGGTGGTTGTGGTGTCTGGCGGAGCACTTTGAGCCCTCTGTAAGCGCTAGGAGCATCCTTCAACGGAGGTACCAAGTCGGGGTGCCAGGTGATCCATTACACTACTACTGATGAGATAAAGTACCATAGTACAAGAGCAAATATACAGAAACCTGTTTTAATTTCATGAATATCCCTGCTTATTTAAGTCAATTCCATTGAAAGGTCCATTAGTGTGGATGGCTACCCCTCATCTCCAATATAATGTAGCAGATGTTGTACATGTGTAGACCACGGCTCTGCAATGAGTAGAACTAGTTTTGGGTATAAACTGTTTTTTTTGTTGTTGTTTTTTTTTTTTTTTATATAAAGTCCCATTGGGAAGTGGACTATCTTACTGTGGTGGGAGGGGCCTAACTGCATTGCGAAACGTTCAAGATAAGTAAACTTAAAAAATAAAAAAATTAAATGCATTATTTAAGGCATTAGAAACATTATACTACATTTAACAATGGAGATATTAATAAATGTATGCCTGTCTTTATTGGGGGGTAGCTCCCTCCCCACACACACATACTGGCAAAAACATAACCAAAGTATTCTGGTTGGCCTGCACTATACAGAATGTTTTACGTTGCTTGATATTGTGACCTTTTACCCATGGCTATTATTCAGCACTCCGTTACTCCAGTCTTTGCATGGAATCAAATCAGATGCGTACCTAGAGCATTTGGCACACCGCTTCATGCAGTGACCGGCAGGAGGAGTGCCCTGTGCAGTGTACTCCCCTCATTCTCGTCACCCAGAGATCATGCCCCCTGGGCCACAGTGCCACTTAATCCGTCCCTGAATGGCACCCCCTTAATGAGTGATCCCTGGGGCAGGCCGCCCCCCTGTTAGTATGCCGCTGCTTGGGAGTGTTAATTTCTGTATAGTTTAAAACTAATACTTTAATTTTGTGTATGTATTATTATTTAGGGAGACAGAATATTTTTGCCAAAACATTTCAGTATCGCACCAAATGCTATACATCCTCCCCCCACCGCCCCTACCTGCTCTTCCCTCATTTCCTGCAGGAAAGCAGGTGCATTCTCAACTACCTTTACATTCTTTCTTTCTCCAGAGCTGCACCCTGATTTCCCTCTTCCTCTTGCTCCTCGTTTTATTATAGGATGCTCCCTCAGCTTCCTCTAACCGTAACTATTTAACTACTGTAAACACCCCTGCATCCTCATGTCTCAACTACCCATTATTCCCGTTAGGTTGTAAGCTCATAAGTTATCTTAATACTCAATTTGTATAAAAGTACTGTATTTACTAGATTAGGATTTTGGTGGCAGGGTCTTCTTATTTTTTTGTATCAGTACGTGTTCATTATTTGTCTGTATCCCCTTTAATGTACAATGCTGCGGAAGCTTATGAACACATTTGTAGTTTTGTTTATAGATATATCCACAGTAACCATTTATTAACTAATGTATAACCATTATATACTTCATGTTGTTAAAGGATCACTATAGGGTCAGGAACACAAACATGTATTCCTAACCCTATAGTGTTAAAAACACCATCTAATCCTCCCAACACCCCTAAATATAGCAAAATCTTACCTTTTTCCAGTCTGCTGCTGCTGGCTCTGTCCCTGATCTGCCTGCTTGTCTGACATCATCAGAAGTTGTGTTCTGAGCCAATCACAATGCTTTCACATAGGATTGGCTGAGATTGTCAAGGAGGCAGATCAGGGTTAGAGCCAGCACAAGCCAAACACAATCCACGCCAATCAGCATCTCCTCAATGCATCTCCATGAGGAAAGTTCTGTATCTCCATGCAGAGGGCTGAGACACTGAATGGCAGTGCTTCACTGTGTGCAGCACTGCCCCAGGAAGCACCTTTAGTAGCCATCTGAGGATTTGCCAGTGGAGGTATCCCTATGCAGTAATGGAAACATTGCATATTCTCTGAAAAGACGATGTTTACTGCAAAAGATCTGAATGGAATGATTATACATCCCAGAACAAATACAATAAGCTGTAGTTGTTCTGGTAAATTTAGTTTCCCTTTAAGTGTCCTGTGTGGAACTGGAAAGTTGTTCACGAGACTAATTAAAGGGAAATGGTCTCTTCTGAAAGTTACCTTGTTGAATAAAACATTAAAAATCCAGTTTTAGTCCAGAGCACATATTGTAAACTAGACAAATGGAAACTTTACTTAATTTCTCTGTATGCTTTCTCTATGTTGACTGCCAGGTACAAAGGACAGAGCTTATTACAATGATTGAGAGGGAGCTAGAATGGAAGTGCCCAGTTGCAGGATTAAGAGTTAAGGTTTTGTACATTTAATTTAGGTTTTCACACTTTACAAGTGTATATATTTGCTAAATATAGGGGAATAAGTAAGCATAGTATGAAAACTCCACAGTTCCCTTTTAATGTTTATTACTGATGAATATTTTTGTAAAGGTAAATAAAAGAATATATAGTTTTTTTTAAACTGTGAATTATACTTTTCGCTCAACAGTCAGATATTCTAAAGCTGTTCACACCTTACTGACGTAATGTGTAATATTAGAGATGTAATATTGTTATAATCAATCTATTTCAAACAAGTAACATGACAACATATTGAAAAATGCAAATATATAATTTATTTAGGGTAAAATAGGGGATGTGGTTGGAGGTTAGGTGCTACAAAAAAAAAGAAGAAAGAAATTCACATTTTGCAAGTTTCTCCCTCTTCAGTCATTCAAACTTCTTCACTCCTGCCCTTCTTTCTGTAAGACGAATGATATAGATTAAATTAAACAGGCTGCAGCTATAATCCAAGGTTATGCTCTTGAGTTATATAAGTCCCCCTCCATTAAAAAGCTTGATAATGCCAATTTTGAGAATACTTCTTCATCCATAAAGAACTTTTAGGGTGAATAACAATAACTAAAGATAAACTGAACATGATAGAAAAATTGTATCACCAGTGACTTAGAACTAGGGTTGTACCTTGCCGACATCACGGCTCTTAGCTCTGAGCTTGTTCACTTGAGACTCGGCAATGTCTGCTCTCTCCTCAGCTTCCTCTAGCTCATGCTGGACCTTCCTGAACCGACCCAAGTGAGCGTTGGCTTGTTCCTCCTAAGACACAAGAATGAATGAAGAATAATTAACAAAGTATTTGTATATATGACTGCTACTTGTAGGGTATTCTTACAGGGTATTCTAATTAGACTTTGGCTGGCTACAAACAAGAATTCACTGGGTTTGTACTTACAGATTCCTCAGCTTGTCTCTTGTAGGCCTTTACTTTCAGCTGCAGTTTGTCCACCAGATCCTGCAATCTCAGGACATTTTTCCTGTCTTCTTCAGTCTGAAAGAGGAAAAACAGTTTTACAGAATCTACTAGAGATCATGGCATTATTTTTTGTAATTATTATTTTTTTTAAAGTAATATATATATAATCTACACTTATATATTTCTTCTTTATGACCAGTTTCATTTTAATACACAGAAGAATAATAATTTACCTGGTAAGATAGCTCCTTCACTCTCCTCTCGTATTTGCGCACACCTTTAATTGCCTCAACTCCACGTTTCTGTTCATTATCCAGTTCGTTCTCTAGTTCTCGAACCTGCAGATCACATCAGCAGATTAAGGATTATTATTTAGCAATTTCTAAATTCAACCTCATTCACTACAACCCAGTGACTTGTACGTACTCTGGACTCAAGCTTCTGAAGCTGCTTCTTGCCGCCCTTCAGTGCTAGCTGCTCAGCTTCATCCAGACGATGCTGAAGATCCTTCACAGTTTGCTCAAGGTTCTTCTTCATTCTCTCCAAGTGAGAGCTGGTGTCCTGCTCCTTCTTCAGTTCCTCTGCCATAAGAGCAGCCTTTGAAAAAATTTAAGAAGACCATGAAAAAAACCCAAAAACTCCCCCCAAGAAACAAAGAAAAACAAAAAGCAAACTGCTCATAACGTGGAAACTTGGGACAAACATACATCGGTGATGGCCTTCTTGGCTTTCTCCTCAGCATTTCTTGATTCTTGGACAGCTTCCTCAGCTTCGCTCTGGAGTTGAGCAATGTCAGACTCAAGCTTCTTCTTGGTGTTGATGAGGCTGGTGTTCTGAAGTGGAGACGAATATAGTGTATTAATTATTCCATCTAATTAGGCACATTCTGTCAATGCACATTTAATTTGTTTCCATCTTATTTATTTTACCTGTGAGTGCAGAAGCTGGACGCGTTCACTTGCATCCAGGAGCTCTTGTTCTGCAGCCTTACGAGATCTCTCTGTCTGTTCCAGAGCAGACCTGTTCTCTTCAAGTTCAGCCTGCAGCAGGTTGGTTCTACGTTCAATCACGGCCACCTGTTCCTTCAGATCTTCCTGTCCTCTTACTGCATCATCCAGATGAAGCTGGGTATCCTGTTAAAGAAATATCAAATTATATGTTCAAGGTGTTACCTATTATGGACAATATTCTATACAACACATTTTAAGAACCAATGGCTCTAACATTAGTGTAAAAATAATAAATATAAATATTTTTCTGCATGGTACTCCTGAAATACCTTAAATTGGGCCTGCACATTGCGGAGCTGCTTCTGTGCCTCTGCAGCCTGGCGGTTGGCATGGCTGAGCTGGATTTCAAGTTCATTCAAGTCTCCTTCCATCTTCTTCTTCAGTCTTAGGGCATCATTCCTGCTTCTGATTTCAGAATCCAGTGTGCTCTGCAGGGTATCAACAGCTCTCTGGGAGTTCCTCTTCAGCTGTTCAATCTCTTCATCCTTCTCTGCAATTTTTCTGTCCACCTCAGATTTTATCTGGTTCAGTTCCAGCTGAACACGTAGGATCTTGGCTTCTTCATGTTCCAAAGATCCCTATTAGAAATATACATGTATCATTGGTTGTTTAAAAGTATCCCTTTAAAAGGTGATATTGGTTGCAGATATTTTATTAATTTATTTCAGGCACATACCTCTGCTTCCTCCAGGGCAGCCTGTAGGTCGCTCTTTTCCTGCTCAACTTGCTTCTTAGCCTTCTCCAGCTCGTTAATGGATTTACCAGTTTCACCGATCTGTTCAGTGAGATCTGAGATCTCCTCTAAAAAAGTAATGAATAAATATTTATTTAGACTTTGCTCCACAGTGTATTTAAGTTTATTGTAAGTTCTGCAGAAATTCAACAGCATTAATATATGTGAGGTTGGGATCTGTTGTGGCACAAGTACTACAGAAGGAGGAAAATACAATAGAAAGAGATTTAGGAGACTATGAGACATAAAGGTCCCATTTCATAAATAAAATGTTATAATGTCAACATAGTCCAGTCATTTGCAGAAATGGTCCTTACCACATTTCCACTTCTTGTGTATGTGTTGTTTAGTTTCCATCTGCATGACTATACTAATGCTAATACTAGAAAATATGCTTAAATTAAGTTGAAGAATTATTGTGAAGTTAGCAATGTATCCTGTAACCAATGTAATATAGATAAACCTACGTTGCAAGTTCTTGTTTTCACGTTTCAGGGTCTCTACTTGTTCCAAGGCCTCCTCATAAGCATTCTTCAGCTTAAAGATATCGGTGCTCAGGCCACGGGATTCTTTCTGAGCTGCCTCCAGCTCAGCCTGACCCTCTTCGTATTTCTGCTTCCATTCTACCAGGACCTATTAAATTAATACAGAATGATAATGTGTTGATATTGCAGATATTTTTTTATTCGCAAATTTAGGAATTTGTTTTCAATATCTAAATGCTGGTGAACGAAATAATAAAAATAAAAAACACCCTTCGTGCATGCAAAACAACCTCTTAAGGTGATGTTTAAAATTCACCACTTTGGTGTATTCTGGGTGTATATAAAACCGGTAATAACGTGATATTGTAGTTCAACCTGCAATATGACATATATATATATACTTGCAAACATGATTTTGCATGGTATTCTCAGGTTCATATAAAAGATACCGCAATTGTGTACTTACAAGTTTGCAAGTATATATATATTTGCCATATTGCAGGCTTAACTACAATATCACGTTATTACCAGTTTTATATACACCCAGAATATACCAAAGTGGTGAATTTTAAACATCACCTTAAGAGGTTGTTTTGTATGCAGAAAGAGTATTTTATATACATTTTGCGCACTGGCACTTTCGTTTTCTACTGTATTTAAATCTTATTACCAAGATTTCATGTTGGTAGTTGCAATTAAATTATATTGCCCCATTCACTGTATTTACTGCGCCACCTTATTTATGGACCTGTATACTGTTTTCAATATCTACCTTGTCGAAGTTCCTCTGCTTCTTGTCTAGAGCAGCTGCTGCACTGTTGGCTCTCTCAACATCCACCATCAGGTCCTCCACCTCAGACTGTAGCCTCTGCTTGGTCTTTTCTAGGGAGGCACATTTAGAGTTCACGGCCTCTACCTGTTCCTCAGCATCCTGCAAGCGCTGGGCAAGCTTCTTCCTGTACGTACATTGAAGGTAGAATTTAAGGACCTTATTCAAAGCCTGATAACATTGTTTATATTGGGTTTATTTAGTGGGAACATACTTGGCCTCTTCCAGTTCCTCTGTGCGCTGAATGGCATCAGTTTCATATTTGGTCCTCCATTGAGCAACTTCACCATTTGATTTGGACAAAGAGCGCTGAAGCTCAGCCTTGGATTCTTGTTCCTCCTCATATTGCTCACGGAGCAAGTCGTTGTCATGACGGGAGGATTGGAGTGCATGAGCCAGGGCATTCTTAGCCTGAAAAAATGCGGGAAATATGTATTCAATGGAATATGTATTCAATGGAATGACAGAATGGAAGGTTTGAAAAGGAATGTTATATAGCAGGTGATCTCTTTATAGACTGTTAATCCAATGCCCTAATCAAGAATTTGTAATACATTCACATTCAGAAGTCCTAATAGTTTTACCTTTGATTCCTCCTCAAGTTGTCTCTTGAGTTCCTCTACTTGTTGTGTGAAGCCTTGCTTTCCTCTTGAGAGCTGTGAAACCAGAGATTCCCTCTCTTCAAGCTGGCGGGCGAGCTCACCTAGAGTGAACCAAAAATTAATGCAAAGCTTTGCAAACCTCATTAAGCAATATTGTATGTAGCAATGAACTAAATTACTATTTAATGTGACTTGACAATGGGGAGCCCTGGCTACCCACTTGGAAATAGGTTGACCTTCTCACCTTCGAAACCCATATTTGTCTTAGTTAAAACAGTTTCTGGGGAAAATAGCAAGGTAGTTCTTTTTGAGTTTCAAAGGTTTTGATATTTGGGAAATACTGCTTCTTTACCCATATTGATTGCACACCAGTTACAGGCTTACAAAATTTTACCATGCGGGTACCTCACTACTCACAAACTTTTTAAAATGCATCGAAAACCTACTGACCTCTGTTAGATGGGTTGTACCTTCAGCCTTTCTGGTCTGCTGTATTATCTCTAATGTTCTGTCTAAACTCTTTTTCATAGTCCTTGGTTTTCTATTACTCTCTATACCTCAGGACCCATTCACATTCGCTAAAAATAAATAGGCAGCTAAAATTGCATTGGTAAGCCAAAGAGCCATAGCTGAACTGTTGCCAGATAGTAAACACTCCAGTATGTCCACATTTATCTGCAAAATCAACTAGGCAATGGATACAATGACTGCTGCAGTTCATGATAGCTACACAACCTTTATTAAAATACATAATTTATGGCTCTTTTCCCCTCATCTTCGTTAGCAGATTTCGCGACTTTTCTCCTCTATGTGTCTTCATTTGCCCCTTTCATTCTATTTTTTATTTCTTGTTTTGCTGGATGTTTTGTTAATTCAGGCAATTACTTATATCCAAGTACACCATTTATTGTTTCTGCCTGTGCTACCTTATGCTTCTATTATTGTTAATGAATGTATTCTCCTATTTTCATTTACGGGGCATTTATCAGCGGTATCTTTCTCCGTAACCTGTGGTTTGTTGGTTTTGTAAAGTTATATATTTTGAAATTTTCTATTTTAATTTTTAGGATTCTTGAAATGTTCTTGGGTGACATGCGAATTTCATATGACCTTTGTAAAATAAACTGTATAACGAGAGATCAAAACAATACTTAGGGTAAACACATGTATGAGTATTTTTTTTTTCTTTTGTCATTTTTTTATTACATTTTTTTGTTTTTACTTTTTCCAGTTTATATTTTGTTGATTCTAAATATTTTCATTTTTTAATGTTCGTTTTTTTTCCCTATTCTTGCAAATATCCCACCATAGAGATTCCTTTCCTGTATATTGTATAGATTCTATATACATATAGATACTTTTAGCCTTTAGGAATCGTTTGGACTGACACTTGTTTCTGGTGGGTATGTTTTCGACACCACACTGATTTTCTGTGTGGGCACCGATTCTACATGCATATTGCCTGGCAGAACTATTATAATGGCTTAACAAGAGGAACTACAAAACCGAAGTTCCGGCTATGCGTTCCACGGTGGAAAGCATGCCATAGTGTGAAACCGGATATCGGGATAGTGTTCCACAGTGGAACATACTTGGAGTAGAGATAAGCCTACCTTCCTTTTATGTTTGTAAGTACAACTTTAAATTATAATCTTTTTATATACAATATTGTACTATTTGTTATTTCTTATCTTTCCATACATATTTGAGGAGGTGGAAAGTGAAGATATCAGCCTCTTGGAATATGCCCCTGTGGTGGAGACAAGCCTGCTACTGTAGTCCTACTTGTGAGTTTTCGACCTCCCTCCCACTGTGGTCCTTTCATATAGCTTACTTCACCATATACATTTTCCCTTTTCTTTTAGATGTTCTCACCAGGTTGTATTTTTATTATCCTGTTTTTTTTTTCTCATATACATCACCTGTGTGAGTTATAACACCATCCTTGTATATGTAGTTTTGGTAAATATTTAGGGTTTACTCTTTGAGGTAAAAGTAAAGCCTATGGAAAAGCTCAGGCTCAACTAGTCAAGCTGTCAGAATATTGATGGATTGGGGAATGTTTTCAAGCTAGCTATGTTGGTCTATATTTTGCAATTCCCTTGGATCATTTGGTTTGCTTCAAAATCTTTTAATATCCTTGAATTTATTTTTCTACATACCATTCTCAGTTTGGAAGCGGGCCCTTTGGGTAGTTAGGTCATTGAGAAGACGTTGATGTTCATCATCCTTTGCCTTCACTTCACTGAGCTGGTCTTCAAGCACACGGTTCACTTTTTCAAGGTTGGCCTAGAAGGATAATTGGTAATATTATAGCTTGCACAATTATAGACTAGTAAATATAAAAGTGTTCTTTACTAACCACTTACTTACCTTTGATTTGGAGATATTTTCAAGATTGCTGGCGAGATCATCAATCTCCATTTTCAGCTCACTCTTTTCTTTCTCAAGCTTCTGCTTAACACGTTGTAGGTTATCAATTTGTTCCCCAAGTTCAGCAACACTGTCAGCATGCTTCTTGCGCAGAGAACTGGAAGTAGCTTCATTCTGAAGGGTAGCTTCCTCCAAGTCACGTCTCAGTTTCTGGAACTCAGCTTCACGCTTCTTGTTCAGCTCAATTTGAGCAGAGGTAGCACCTCCGGCCTCTTCAAGTCTCTCACTGATCTCTTCAAGCTCTCTAGAGAGATCAGCTCTCTGTTTCTCAACCTTGGCACGAGCTGCACGTTCTGCTTCAATTTCCTCCTCAAGTTCTTCAATACGAGCCTAGAACACCAGAGGTAAATGTTGTAGGGAAAATGCAATGTAGCTCAGAGGATTACAAAACTGACTTGCACAAACATACCTGAAGTTCCTTGATCTTCTTCTGCAACTGAGATCCCAGGGACTGCTCATCTTCTATCTTTGATTGAAGCTGACTAATTTCAAAGTCCTTCCTGTGTGTTAACAGAAAATATAATGGCTTTTGTTAAACTGCTCTAAACAAATAGGTTTTAAAACAAAAGAAACAAACATTAACAATAAAGACTAACTTCTTGAGTTTTTCATCAGTTTGCTGTTTGTCATTTTCAAGATCCATGACTGTTTCCTGGGACAGCTTCAGATCACCCTCAAGCTTCCTCTTGGCTCTCTCCAGATCAAGACGGAGTTTCTTTTCTTGTTCTAGAGATCCTTCAAGCTATAAGGAGAGATAAATCACGTTGTATTACAATGGTTACAAGACAATAGCAACACAATGTTTTAGAACATAATGTTCTATTTCCACTTGTACGTACGTCATCTACTTGCTGTTCTAGCTTAGTCTTGGCTTTTGTCAAACTGTTGACTTTGTCCTCTTCAGCTTGCAGATCATCAAGTGTTTGTTGGTGAGCCTCTTGAAGGGCTTTTTTCTCCTTACTAACTTTGGACACATTCTCATCAAGGACTGCAAGTTCCTCAGTGAGGTTTTTAACCTAAATATACAGCAGAAATTGTTATTCAAAATACATAATGTTATCTTATTAAACCTTAGGTAACAAAAGGGTTATCCTTATTGGTCTTCACACCTTGTTTTCTGTAGCATGTTTTTCTTTTTCTACTTTGGCCAATGTAAGCTCTAAATCATCAATATCTTTCTTCAGCTCAGAGCATTCATCCTCCAGTTTCCTCTTCTTAGCTGTAAGTTCAGCATTACTTTCCTCTTCATCTTCAAGTCTCTCTGTGATCTCCTTGATTTTAGATTCCAGTTGAATTTTGTTCTTGATGAGGCCTTCACATCTTTCCTCTGCATCAGCCAAAGTCTCACCTTCCTGTATTGGAAATATAATGTATTTTTAAAATATTTGCTTTTGACTTTGTTTAGCTATACTCTGTTTATATTTGTATGTTCTTACCGACTGAACTTGCAGGAGTAAATCATTCTTCTCCTGAAGTAGGGAAACCATTTTCTCTTCTAGTTCTTTCTTCTTGGCTTCTGACTTTGCCAAGGCTTCCTTGGTCTTCTCAAACTCTTCCTTCATGTTTGCCATCTCTTTCTCAGTCTCAGCACTCTGCAGGAGAGGTTTGATCTTGAAGTACAGTTTCATCCAAGGCCAGTGTTTGACATTCATGAATGACCTGACATTGTACTGGATGATGTAGATTGCTTCCCTGTGTAATTGATTTACAGAAAATAAGTATTTATTCTAACACAAAGTTCTTCATTAACACTTTTTTGAGAATATTACATAAACGTTACCGTCTCTCAATCATCTTCTTGAACTCGGTTCTCATCAGGAAACCTCTGCAAAGAGCTTGAGTGCGAGTAATAAGTTGTGCCAACTTTTCATCTCTCATCTCTTCCAGGGTACCCAGAAGACCAGCTTTGAAGAACACCTGCAAAGGAGAGAAAACCATTATAATAATCTTTAAAACACCAATGTATATGTTTGTCTTTAATGTTTCAGTCTCTTTATACCTTGGTGTGGCCAAATTTGTACTGAGTGTGATCAACATCAATGGAGCCCAGAAGTTTCTCAGAAGCCTTCTTGCTGTCAACAAACTGCCCGTCCGGAATAACGCTGGCATTCAACACTTTGTAACTTCATAAAAGTTAAAAAACAATTTGGGGTTTAAATTCAGGGCAAATGTATAATTTTATAAAACAATGTTTGTTTTTTCGCACATACGTGTAAAACAAATACTTATTCATTTAATCTATCAGTTTATTTAAAGTAGTACATAAAATATACCGTTGTTTGAAGTCAGCATAGATGATTCTGCTGGGGAATCCTTTCCTGCAAATTCTGATACCCTCCAACACACCGTTACATCTCAACTGGTGGATGATCAGATGGTTTTCCATGATACCTGAAGGAGTGAAAAATTGATCATGGTTTAAGGTGGACAACATCCCAACAGTGAAATACACTGTTCCCTTATTGTTTAGACTGGAAGAAAGAAGATTTCGTCTAAGGCAAAGAAAAGTTTGTTTTTTTTACTGTAAAAACAATAAGAATGTGGAATTCTCTGCCTGAAGAAGTGGTTTTATCAGATTCCATACAGATGTTCAAACAGGAACTACATGCATACTTGCAAAAACAGAATATTCAAGGATATAATCTTTCAATGTAGGGTAATAGCTGCTTGATCCAAGGATTAATCTGACTGCCATTCTGGGGTCAAGAAGGAATTTTATTTCCTAGTTTTTTGCAAAATTGGAAGTGCTTCAAACAGTTTTTTTTTTTGTCTTCTTTTGGATCAACAGCAAAAAACAAATGTGAGGAAGGCTGAACTTGACGGACGCAAGTCTCTTTTCAGTTATGCTTAATACTTTAATACTTATTAAATAAATATATTCAGAATAGAAATTTACCAGGAGTTTTGGACTCATTAGGAATCAAACAACGCACAAAGTGTGGGTGAGTGCTTCTCAAGGTGCTCATCAGCTTGTTCAGATTTTCCTAAAACAGATATAGAAAAATACGTCTGATGCTTAAACTGGGGTAGAAGTAAAGCTACATTTGTTACGAAAAAGAATACTGATAAATGTCCAGATTTGTGTAAAGTAAACAATATAAAATGTACATACCCTGAACAAAGCAGACACAGTCTGGAAGGAGCCACCCTTCTTCTTCTTTCCACTCTTTGCACCATCTGTTATTTAAGGATAATGGGAGCTATGTGTTAAACTAATACACGATAATGTGGAAGCAGTCACTAATATGGCATGATACATTTTTCAAACCCACCATCAGTAGCTGCATAGCTGGAGTAGAGTAAGGACAACAGTTTCATTGAAGACTTCTGGTAAAGCTGAACAACAGAATCGTTCAGTGGGTCCTTGTTCTTGTCCAGCCAGCCACTGATGTTGTAGTCCACAGTACCAGCATAGTGGACCAGAGAGAAGTGAGCTTCAGCCTTTCCTTTGGCAGGCTTGGGCTTCTCAAAGTTCTTGCACTTGCCAAGATGCTGTTCATACAGTTTGTTCTTGAAGGATGTGTCAGTGGCCTTGGGGAACATGCACTCCTCTTCAAGGATTGAGAAGATGCCCATGGGCTGAAAATGTACATATCAGTGAGAATTTCATACATCGTTAACCTGTGTTTCCACAGCACAACTTCCTGGATTCATTTTTGGAACCCACCTTCTCAATGAGTTCAATGCAGGCAGCCAGATCCATACCAAAGTCAATGAACTCCCAATCAATGCCTTCCTTCTTGTATTCTTCCTGTTCCAGGACGAACATGTGGTGGTTGAAGAACTGCTGCAGCTTCTCATTGGTGAAGTTGATGCAGAGCTGCTCCAAGCTGTTGAACTGTAGACGATAAAAGGGGGTTAAATAAAATGTACTTGGTTTTAAGTTATAAAAATATAGTTGACAAAGTTTTAAATAAATGTTCACTTACATCAAAGATTTCAAAACCAGCGATATCCAACACACCAATGAAGAACTGTCTTGGTTGCTTAGTGTCCAACTGTTGGTTGATACGTATGACCATCCACAAGAACAGCTTTTCATACACTGACTTGCACAGGGCACCAACTGCGTTGTTACACTGAAGGGAACAGACATAGCGTGAGCTTCTGCACAGAACTGCAGACACCTTAACAATAATCGACAGAACACGGGAGACATAATTACCTGTGCGACAGTCTGTCCTTTGGTGACATATTCATTGCCGACCTTTACTCTTGGGTAGCACAGAGCTTTCAGCAAATCGGCAGAGTTCAAACCCATCAAATATGCGATTTTATCAGCAACTACAGGTTAAAAAGAGAAATAATTGCATGCATATATTGGACAGAGGAGGCTCTAGACTTTGAGAGGCCTTAAGCGAAACTCAAGCAAGAGGCCCCCACTAACAACCATAGTAAAAAAAAAAAAAAAATTGTCAAATGTTACAGATAACAAAACAGTCAAATTTTTTCCCCACATATTGGGGGGTGTGACACCTTTAAATACCTTTTTTTGCGGGTGATGGCTCCCTGCTGGTCTGTGGCAGCTCTCCCTGGTGGTCCGATGGGCTGTCTCTCTGGTCTGCAGCTCCGCCGTGTGCAGAGCAGCAGACCATGTGTTAAGTATCTCGTGAGCTCCAGTCAGAGCATTGCCATGGTAACCCGTGGCAACGCTCTGATTGGCGGAGATTGGGAGACATTTCACGGTCTTGCAGCTCTGCACCCGGCAGAGCTACATAGTGTAGGCTGGCTCTCTGCCATGGGCAGACTGCGCATAGTGGGCCCCCTCACCCGGCGGCATACAGGGCAAGCTGCCGAAGCCTCTCCTAGTGTCGGTCCTCACACATTAGTCTGCCCCAAGGCAATTTATGCAGCCGCGAGGCCCCAGTCACTGCAAGACCTTAGCTGGCCGCCTAAATAGCCTAATTAGAGAGCCACCTCTGATATTGGACACAAGTTTTATCCATGTTAAGCAGAGATTAGGTTTCTAATTTATATCCGTAGCAGTTGTACTGAGATTTTTTCATTGAACACTAAGACAAACCTTCAGTGCCGTCAGGCTCAGCCTGCTCCTCTCTCTGCTTTTGCTTGAACTTCAGGTTGCCATGGTGCATGACAGCTCCTGTAAGTTTGTAGATACCAATCTTTTCTTCTGCGGTGAAACCCAGGACATCAATGGCATTCTGTAGGATGAGAAAGGAAGTTTGAAATTAAAAACCAGTATTCAGAACAGAAGTTGCAATGTTGATGCTCTTCTTCATAACTTCAGCACTTACATCAGTGGCCAACAATTCCTCTTCATCATCAATACTCTTCACAACAATCTCACCCTGGCTGATGGAAGGAAAGTCGTATGGGTTGGTTGTGACCAGAAGTGTTTCTAGAGAAAAAGATATATTGGTAAAAATAAAACATTACACATGGAAGTAATAGTCTTAAATGTCTGATTTATACCTTTTCATCTCAGTTATATCCTGTCAATATAATTGTAGATTATGCTAGCTTTAGTGTACCTAAAATCTTAATTTTATTAATGATAGGAGGCGAATATTTGCTTAAGTCTTTCTTTACTAGAACTCCACAGCAGCACATTAACATCAATCAGAAAAAAAGTAAGGTATTATAAAATTCCCCTCCCTACACATAATTTCCTCTTTCAAGCTGCGACAAAAAAAATAGAAAAAAAAATAATGGAGTAAAACTAGTCCTAGATACAATGAATATAACGACGTCCACCATCTCGTAACACCGCTTTTTTAACAGAGGCGGCCACAGCTGCATTAATCATTGCCTGCAGGCTTTCCTGGGTAGGGGCGTCCATAGCGGTTGTTGTCTTAACCGTAGCGAGACCCTAGAGACAGAGATGGCAGGTGTCACCCCAGATAGCATGGTAGCAGTGCTTATATGGACACACATATCTTTGTGTCTATAGTGGGTACGGAGGCTCTCCCCAGTAATATTCCCCCAGGCCTGCGGCCAAAAGGGGGCTCTTGGCACAGACAAAAGTCGGCCTATCAATAGGCCGTTCAGAGCAGGCCAATCAAAGGGGCACAGACAGAGCAGGCCAATCACGGGCGCTGTATTAAGACAGCAGCAAGGGACCAATGTGTGTGAGTAGAGTCCCCATATATATTTACAAATCCTTAGGGCATCTTGGTGACAACAATCCCAATACACAAAAGCCTTCTTGGCAGTGTAATAATGTGAGTATAAAACTTTAAACAGATAGCTGGCAGTCCCCTAATGCCCAGCAACCAACTACAGGTATATGCAAGCTGTAGAGATCCCAGTGCAGCCCAGTCTATATAGCATGTATCAAGCACTCCAATACATTAGGAGGGTGTCAGAGAGCAACACTGGAAGGAAACCTATGGCGTCCAGTAGACAGAAACCCAGATGCAGGTTGAGAGGGCCCTCTCAGGCTGCCACTAAGTCCAGAATTCTGGGAGTAGAGCCTGACTCCCAGCGGGGGAAAAAAACAACGCCGTAGTCAGACCTCCACAGACGGAGGGTGGGGGGATGGGCACGAGCAAGCGCACCTTCCTCCACCTGGTCGGACGCACTCGGTCCACTGAAGGAGCAGGCTGCGGCAAGGCGGCCACGTGGGAAATGGATCCGGCCGCCGGGTATATGTGTTAGATCGTGAGTATCCCAGAGACCAGTAAAAATCACACGGGACCGCTGGAGACGTACTTTGCGGTCCCGGAGCTAGGGGGGATCGGAGGATGCAGCCCAACAATCAGCCTCCTGAAACCCCCAAGCGATATACAACACAGCCCAAAAAATAAAAAGAGGGCAGATAAGAAATAAAGACAGGAGGGGAATTTAGACAGGGGAAATAGATAGGGGGGAAATCCCAAGGGATAGGCAAGCAACTGAAGGCCCACAAAGACCTCCCTCCCTCCCCCACAAATCCACACACAATATATCTAATGAAGTAATCAGGGGAAAGCATAAAAACATACAGAAAACAGTAAATCCCCAAATAAACCAATTACAGAATACTGTAAATAAACATTAAAATCCCACAGCCACCCACTAAAAGCAGGAGGCAGTGGTACTCTGACCTGTACTGATGTGGAGCAGCAAAGAAAGAGGAAATGATGTATGGGGAGGGGAGTTTTATAGTGCCTAACTTTTTTCTGATTGGTTGTTTTTCTGTGCTGCTGTGGAGTTCTAGTAAAGAGAGACTAAAGCAAATACGAAGCCTCCTGTCATGTTATAAAATTATGAATTTGGAGAATTAAAATTTTTTGTTTAATTACCAACAATTTCTGGTTTCTTGTTTGTCATGATCTGATAGAAGATATGGTAGCTTCTTTCAGCAGACAGCTGGAAGGTAACTCTGGATTTCTCTAGCAAATCTGTTCAAATAAAAGCCAATATAAGAAATATGATATATCCCATTTATAAATAGTTAAAGATAAATTAATTTGCAATATATTCCTTACATGTTTCAATATCAGCTGAAGACAATTTTCCGGTGGTGCCGAAATGAATTCTGATGAATTTACCCTAAATACCACAGTGAGAGTTTAGTAAACTTGGTAACAAAATGGGGAAACATACAGATGGTAACATGAAAATGTCTATTGCCCAACAAAAACTTACAAAACGAGAGGAGTTGTCATTTCTCACGGTCTTGGCATTACCGAAAGCTTCCAGCAGAGGGTTAGCCTCAATGATTTGATCTTCCAGAGTACCCTGTCATACAGGAGTAAAACTTGTTAATTGGATGAAATTCATAATTTGGACATTAATCTCTTATCCTACACATGTAGATAGAAACATAGCATTATGCATAGATGTACTAAATCTACAGTAAAAATGTTCTGCATCTTGTTCTGGATCAGCAGAATATTTGTTAATGAAGATGTGGAGGGGTTTGGTATCTGTTTTCAACCTAGTTAACTACATATGAATAGAAGTCAAGTAAGTGACTTCTCAGTAGCATGACACCAGTGGACAGAGAGTAATGTATAGCAGATTAGATATGCTTTGAGCCTTTCGGTTCTTTAACTATGTATTAATAATCCCAATAGCTGTATTACCTTCAAGCTGTTAGCTGGCTCCTTTTGTTTGCCTTTCTCTCCAATAGCCGCAATTGTTGCAAAATACTGGATGACACGTTTTGTGTTCACAGTCTTTCCGGCACCAGATTCTCCACTATGGATAAAGAAGATTAAAATATAGAACGTCTAGAAAAGCTGAAGAAATGACTAGAACTTGAAAGATACAATGACAATATACTGACAAAGTACTTACGTAATCAGGACAGACTGATTGACACGATCTGCAAACAGGAGATGTGGATTAATAGAATATTCATAGTATTATGTGTTGATAAATTAAGACTGTTACACAGAAGAAATGGCCAGGCACCTGTTAGCATGAACTGATAAGCGTTATCAGAGATGGAGAAGATGTGAGGTGGGGCTTCCATACGTTTCTTCCCTCTGTAACCAGCAACCACCTCAGGGTTGTACACTGGGAGCCACTTGTAGGGATTCACAGTGACGCAGAAAAGGCCAGAGTAGGTCTAAACGGCCAACAAAACAAATAGCATCAATTTATATGTAAAGGGGACAAGTAAAGAGTTAGAATGTTTCCACAATAAAGGGTCAGTAAATATTTTACTAAAAAGCTGATTAATTATTTTAATATATTGTAAGGGGAACATTTAGGAGGCACATTTCTAACTCCAGGCATGGATTTTCTTATACACAAGAAATGGTATATAAAGTTGTTCTATGTCACTCTTGTTTTATTATTTTCCTTAAATAGTTTAAGTAGGGGAGGTGCACACTTTTTACTTAAACTGTTTATCTGGTCTTTCTATGGAGAAAGAGCCCCAACTTACGTAGATCATCCATGCTGCATAACGTTCTTTGAGGTTATACAACACAGAGGCTTCATTCAAATGGGTCATCATGGCCATGTCTTCAATTTTGTCATACTTGGGGGGATTTTGAGGATAAACTTGGCTGTCTTTAACAGTTACAGTCTAGAAGAAGAGAGGCATATTTCAGTTAAGGTCACAATTAACAGTAATTAACAGCTGGTATGATAAGTAATAGAATTTTATATTTACCCTTCCATCATCAGTTTTCACAGTGATTTTGCCATCTTCACGAGCTGTGACTAGACCTTTCACGTACAACTCTTTTTGGTCATCTACGAAGCAGGTGTTCTTGGCATCAAATGGCCTATTCTGGGCTTCCAATCGTTCTTTATCAGATTTACGGAGAAACTGGGCAGCCTCTCCGAAACAGGCCATCTCCCCGTCACCCATGATTGCTGGTGTCTACAAAATACACATATCTTAAATTAATCTCTATTTTACCCAGACGTACAATAAAACGTTACATAGTCAAATTTCCTCTCATCGTCAGTATTGATTTCCACACTTAAAAAAGTAGAACAGTAATTGTTATGAGAAATAATTCTTAAATCTTGGCCGCACACACACATTTGGCATTTGAGTTGGAGGCCATGTGAAATAAATATAGCTATTTTCCGATACATACATAATTGCTACAGAGAAATTATTATGGAGGAAGATGATTCTAATGCTGAATGGTTAAAGGGACACTATAGTCACCTGAACAACTTTAGCTTAATGAAGCAGTTTTGGTGTATAGAACATGCCCCTGCAGCCTCACTGCTCAATCCTCTGCCATTTAGGAGTTAAATCCCTTTGTTTATGAACCCTAGTCACACCTCCCTGCATGTGACTTGCACAGCCTTCCATAAACACTTCCTGTAAAGAGAGCCCTATTTAGGCTTTCTTTATTGCAAGTTCTGTTTAATTAAGATTTTCTTATCCCCTGCCATGTTAATAGCTTGCTAGACCCTGCAAGAGCCTCCTGTATGTGATTAAAGTTCAATTTAGAGATTGAGATACAATTATTTAAGGTAAATTACATCTGTTTGAAAGTGAAACCAGTTTTTTTTTTCATGTAGGCTCTGTCAATCATAGACAGGGGAGGTGTGGCTAGGGCTGCATAAACAGAAACAAAGTGATTTAACTCCTAAATGACAGTGAATTGAGCAGTGAAACCTGAGAAGCATGATCTATACACTAAAACTGGTTTATTTAGCTAAAGTAATTTAGGTGACTATAGTGTTCCTTTAAGGGTCTACTTTATGATTTTCAGAGAATCAATGGGAAAATTTTGAGCTACGCACACTACTCTTGTCATGTCTTGTATAGTGGTATATAAGCAAAACAGTGAGTTTTTGGCAAAAAAGGGGGTTAACCACCAAGTTAGGCTTAAATGTTGCAATGGTTGTCAAGTAACTTTTAGTTAATGAATGGTCATGTATTCACTCCCCTAGACTGTTCTGCTTTGTTGATTGACTTGATGATAGTGGGCTCTTATATGGTTAACACTAAATTCTAAACTAAATAGCCAGTAAATTTAAACATAGACTGCAAAATGAGACTAAATAATCTGATTTGGAAAATTTCTACATCTCTGCTTGGCTGTTTAACCCTAAGGTTTGCCATTCATTTTTCAGTTTGTGACCAGTTAGGTAAAGTATACAAATAAATAAAATATTATAAAGTGATCCCTACGGTGTCAGACCATATTGCTAAATTTCCTTATGTACTACCCTAGGTAGCTTTATAAGATAAGAGAATATGAATATCTAAAAACCAAATGGATTGATTTCCCTGAGACCTAAACAGTGATTGAAGCGCCACCTAGAGGGCAAGTGGTAAAGCACTGTAGAGTGAAATTATTAATTGTGTTTTAATTTATGGAGTCTAATTTTAACTTGAAAATGCCACTCCATGAATAATGGAGATTGAATTTTCAAATACTATATCTTACTTTTTATTTTAAAATAATGTGCAAAGCGGCTATTTTAGCCAACCTTTCTTGGTTATGTTAATATTTTGTCATAACTGGACTTAAAAATCTATAGTGCCAGGAAAACGGCTTTGATTTCATCAATTTCAAGTTACTAGATATAAAAGCATCATTTTCTTTCTAATATTGCCATTTTTCCACAATACAAAGCTATGTATTACTACTTACATTTTATTTCAGATGTTTAATGGGAAAAAAAAATACAACAGTTCCCTGGAATTAAAAAAAGAAGAGAGAGAAAATGATTAAAATTTAAGAAATTTCAATAAATATCAATTAAGTCCACCCCCACTCCACCCTTCTCATAACCAAGCCTATCCAGTTCTCCCTTCCTTACTTTAAAGGGACACTATAGTCACCTGAACAACTTTAGCTTAATGAAGCGGTTTTGGTGTATAGAACATGCCCCTGCAGCCTCACTGCTTAATCCTCTGCCATTTAGGAGTTAAATCCCTTTGTTTATGAACCCTAGTCACACCTCCCTGCATGTGACTTGCACAGCCTTCCATAAACACTTCCTGTAAAGAGAGCCCTATTTAGGCTTTCTTTATTGCAAGTTCTGTTTAATTAAGATTTTCTTATCCCCTGCTATGTTAATAGCTTGCTAGACCCTGCAAGAGCCTCCTGTATGTGATTAAAGTTCAATTTAGAGATTGAGATACAATTATTTAAGGTAAATTACATCTGTTTGAAAGTGAAACCAGTTTTTTTTCATGCAGGCTCTGTCAATCATAGCCAGGGGAGGGCTGCATAAACAGAAACAAAGTGATTTAACTCCTAAATGACAGTGAATTGAGCAGTGAAATTGCAGGGGAATGATCTATACACTAAAACTGCTTTATTTAGCTAAAGTAATTTAGGTGACTATAGTGTTCCTTTAAGGACTTTTATCAAGCAGTCCCATGCTTCTAGAATTCATAATTAAATAAATCTTCACTCTATATTTCCATCTTTTTATCTTCTCCCTTATAAGGCATCGAACTATGAATGTAAAAGTCATACCCTCAACCCAACACTAAAGGCTCCACAATAACTACAATCTAGCTTTGACTTCTTCATTTTTCTTTTTATTCCTTTGGTCAATATATCAAGCTTTGCAGACTATTTTGGTGATACATAAATTAGTTACAATAAGGTATGTGCAAAACTTAGATATTTATTTTCATTTTTTGTTTGTTGTGTTTATTGTTTAAATGAAATATTAAATATTGTTTTTGTGTAACTTTGTAAAATAAAAAAAAAGAGCAATAAAGTTTATATAAAATAAATAAATTTCGAGATCAATCAACGTATCAGAACTACATATGACTTAACGAAATGTTACGCTAATAAGCTCAGGTATCCTTTTTTTTACTGCCTGTTGCATGCATCGTAAAAAAGTGAAAAATTCTCCCAAGCAACCCACAACGTTACTTACCTACAAGCAGGACCTAACCAGCTGGCAACTCTCATTCAAGCTTTTATAGCCCAACAACTGCCATCTCAGCTCTTTCTACTTAAGGAATTGGTGTTTACATTGCCTTAACTGTGGCCCTACGCCAAAAGATGTCTATTCATCAAATGTAAAAATAACTCTCACAATTCAGTCTGGAAATAACCACCATGAAGTATGTTACAATTTGCAATCAATACCATGGAATAGGGTTGCCTGTCACTCTGACACATGATCATTAAACTCTAAATCAAAGTACAAATCTGTAAAAGTAACACTATGCCATGTTTAACAACACAGGATTAGTGCGTATTAAATAGAATTACCAACAAATAGCATTGGTAATAAAATTAGATGGAAATTAAACAAATAGAATTAGGCATTTGGTCTTTGGATGTATTTAGCAATACAGATATAATTTTATTATCTTGATTAGGGGATTGTGAAATTGTAGCAATTATTATTATTAATATTTTTTTAAAGGAATCTTCCGTTTTTTTGTTTTTGAAATATGTGAACGGCGAAAAAAAAAACCCCATACATAAATTAAACTATTAAAATAACTTAGGAGTACTAGAATTAATATTATTATTATTCACCTATGCTATTAGTAGTGCATTTATTATTTACTTCATTTATTTTTGAATAACTTATTATTTAAAGGCCCCTTAAGGACCAAACTTCTGGAATAATAGGGAATCATGACATGTCACACATGTCATGTGTCCTTGAGGGGTTAAATGTGTTATTTAAGTGCTTTAGCAAGTGGAGAGAAATATTTTAATGTTTTTAGCTGCTATTTTTATATTTTTATTATATTAGTATTGTTCATTTTTATTCCATGTTATAACTAGTTTTTTGCCTTCTGTACTGATTAGCTGTTATATTGTAAACATATTCAATAATTATTTAACCCCTTAAAGACGCAATTGTAGACGATGTGAACAAAAGCTTTAATTTGAGCTATATGTCTGTTCAACTGTAATTCACCTCTTAAATGTTAAGTGCACCTACACTTATTGTATATCATTTTATTCAGGAGAAACGGGGGTTTAATTTCACATCAAATATTTATGAGAATAAAATAAAAACACTTCTATGAATAGAAATTTAAAAAGTGTGAAATTAAGAAATTTTATTTTTTTAGTTCTGTGCGGCATTTTTACTGTAAACATCATAACACAACCAGCTGACTGAAGAAGCTCTATTTGAGAGTGAAACGCGTATTGGCCATTTTTAAAGGACTTTTATTTGAGGACTTTTATCATCTTTGTTTTTATGTTTATTTTAAACTAATAAATTTACCATTTTCATTTAATACCTCATACAAGTTCTTTTTAGAGCCTCCAATGAATCCTCACAGGGGTAGTGCCATCCCCATTCAAATTGGCACAAAATCCACATACCTAGAGCCGGGATTCGTAGGCTCAGGACCAGGTGAGCACCCCATTTATTGAACACATATCTGTGTCATTTATCACCATAAGTCTACACATCGGTTTGCTTTCTTCTCTTTTTTCGTGTTCTCGAGAAATTCTTCAAGCCGAAGTAGGAGGGTGGTGCTACCATAACAGCACACAAGCCTTTATACGGAGCCAGTGTTTTCTATATACAGGCTCCTTGAAATGTGAGTGTAATATTCAACACAATATTATTATAATCACTGTGAAGCCATTTTTTAGTACCATCTACACTATATTGTATTTTCTGTATTTTATTTTGACATGTACCCCATATTTTACCATTGAATGAGACTACGTTTTGGTAAGATTTATCTGTGTTTGAGCGCTCCACTTATAGGTGTAGGTCCTTGTCACTTACACCGCACCAATATCTACTAAATTTATTCAGTGGAATAGAGGATATTTCCACACTAGTGTATTGAGCTGCCTGTAAATCACTTTTTGACTCTTTTGTGCACTTTTGTTATACACACTCCTCTGTAAACAGAGGCAACCTTTGATTGGTAAACATCATAATAGCTCTAGATTTTACTGCAAAAAAATACACATATTTGTGTTCAGCAATGGCTCACGAGTACAAGAGTACCCCAGATGTACATGTTTTATGGTAATTTGAAAAGTTACAGGATCAAATATAGCGTTTCCCTTTTTCAGTTGTTAGACATTGAGATTTACCAGATTGGTTATGTTGGCTTTGAGACTGCATGGCAGTCCAGGAATGAGAATTACCCCCATCATGGCATCCCATATGCAAAAGTAGACAACCCAGGGTTTTCAAAATAAGGTATGTCCCACTTAGTTACAAACAGTGGACAAAATTAGCGTTCATATTATATTTTTTTTGCATTTTTCACAAATAAACTGCCTTTTTACTGATTATATCATCAGCATTATACATTTTACTGAGATTTAGAACACTCATATTTGTGTTCAGTAATGTCTCACAAGTACAACAGAACCCCCCATGTCCAGGTCTCACCCCTACATACTTATTAACCCTTAATAGGGCACACATGGGGTGGATGGCAGCATTGACGTGGCAGGTGGGCTTACTTTTAATTGCCATTGGAGTTACTAAATAACCTCCACCTTCAAAGGGGCCTATCACAAAACCATTGGAAATTTCTTTATGCAAAAGTAGGTTAGGACATTCTACCTTGCCTTTTGGAAGGGACACCATACATGTGTGAAATCCAGAAGAAAAACCTTCACACAAAAATGAAGTTAGATGACTTAAGTAACGGTACAGAATGTCAACCTTTATTGGTGGTTGTCATTGTTTTGTTACAGTTTATTAGGGCACATAGTTTTGGCACATAGTTTTGGCGTGGGCTCTGAAACATAAGGAACTCTAAGGATCATAAGGATTTATGATAATCGTAGAACGCGTACCCTCCATACTTGTGCCCAAAGTCCGCTGGTTTATACAAGTAGAGTTTCAGTTCCCTTTTAAGAAGTGCATAGTTTGAATAGAAGACATCCCTGAACAGGCTGAATGCAAAAACAACCTCTGGGATAGTCCGTTTCTTATTGAGTCTTTGATCTCTAGTTTTAAGAACCACAGAAAGGTTTCTCACTATCTTGTGGGGCAATTAATAGTGGTAACAAACTGACATCCTTGCCTTCCAAGTTATCTTTTCTATGGTCCAAGGGCACCAGGCGCACAGGTGTAATGATCAGGGAAGGTTGACTTGACAGGGTAAGTAAATTTGAATTAACCAGGTGAGTAGATTCAGGTTGGGGGAAAAGGTAAATTAACGACAGGGTTTGTAGACTGGCCAGGACCGTTAGCTGATTCCAAATCCTTTAATCTGGTGTTATTATTGGAAATGGAAGCTGCTACAGATGAGACCATGTTACATAGTTCTGCCAGACTGTTTTGAATCGAACCTTTTTGGCTGTTACCCAGTCTTTCATTATCACTAGTGGCTTTCAATAATCGGAACAATTCAGCTCTCCTAGCTGTGGCTGGGAAAGGTATGCTCCTGCACCTCAATTCAGCCGTAATCTTAGGAACAGTCCAAGACCTGTAACTGGAGGTTGGACTAGGGGCTTCGGTGAGCCTGGATGCAAAACAGGATCTAGAGGGGGTACTTGGTATGGAGATATCATCACCATGAGCCGACACGTTAAAGATGCTATGAACGTAAAAGAATAATATAAGTATGTGAACCTAGTTTAATAACTAGAACGGGCAAGCTTTATATTAATGCCAAGTGGCAAAATTATATTATAAAGCTACCGTTGTGACAAGTAAATCAATATGGGAAAGTGATGAATGGCTGAAGAAGTATTAAAATTATAACGTACCTTCCAGTACGTAAGTTCTAGGCATGACACTCTTGTATTGAAAATTAGGAACTGAACCCAATATAAATATGAATTATTTAGTATTTCTGGGAAATCCAAACAAAACACATATCGATCTAGTAATATCAGCAGACCCACCTCAGTGTGGAATGCTGACAACATAGTTAAAATACCTTGGCCTAAGTTTCTGAATGCAGGAACCTAAGCAAGAACAAGGAAACTCTGTCACATTGTCCGGATGAAGTTAAATATGTAATCGCAACAAAAAGCAAACAAAATCTGATGCCAACATACCGGTAATGAATTGGAACAAAAGTACAATATTACGTTGATAAACTTCTGCGAGGTGACAACCAGGACCTATAATGAGAAATTCGACATTTGGGCATAGCTAAGCAAACAAACCCGTACACGATGCCTGAAAACAATGTGTTAATACTGAACACTAAATATTGAGATAACAAGAGAGAACACCATTTACAGCCAATGAACTTTTTCGTGTAATTTGAAAATAAGGACACTAGATGGCGTACTGGTTTCTATTTAACATGAGTACGAAATTCGTTGGTAACAATCTTTAAACATAATAAAATAAAACGCGTTCAACATTCGAAAGAAACCATTCCCAGAGCCTAAAGTTAACACAGTAATCATGCCATTCGGTAAATTAAGCAGTGCGTGAGTTTTGACATGAATTGACGTTAGCTATTGAATAGTGATTTAAAAGAAGCGGACGCGCATATGAACGAACTAATTTAGCCCGAACGAGGCACATAAGGAAAGAAAGGCTAGTATTACTTGCAAAAAACAAAGAAATAAATGTGTGATATACCTTTAAAACTATTTTTACAAACAAATATGCAACTAAAGTGCGTGAACGCAGTGATATTTGTTTAATGTTCTAAAAATTTTAAACAATATAATGTGCAAAATGTGTGGAATCAGCCACAAAGTGCTCTCCATTCAGACCAAAGACGGGAGTCGAGAGGAAAGGAAGTCAAATGTAATCACTTCCTCCCAGTACAGCAAGCGCCTGGGGGGGAATAGTGAGTATTGTATGTATGACAGCCCTGTTCTAGCCATACCCCTAACTTTACTGTTCTTATCATAGCATGTGTGCATTTTAATACACCCAGGGGACTACTATTAGATAATACTTTTTGACAATGATTTGAATGGTAAAACAAATGTAGAGAGGTCCAGGCACTCCAAAAAAAAAAAAAAAGGCAATTTATTAAATCCACAGCCAAGTCACAACGTTTTGACCTACATGGTCTTTGTCA